TTTCTTAAAATTTAAACTATTAAAGATTACTCCTTTGACCCTTTCTTTATTTTTCTTGTTTACTTTTTTGTTTTTTTTTCTAATTACTTCTGCCTCTTCTTTCCAATTTAATTTCTCGGAACATTTTTTTATCTACTTTTTGACTTTGGCAAGGATAAAAAGAACACATTCTTTAAGTTTAAAGTAAGAAAAAGAAAAACAAGTAACAAATTCATCCATTCTATTCAAAATACAGATATAAAAACACCTCTAAGTTATGTAAAATAAAATGTTTATTTTACTAATAAAAACAAGCAATATCAATAACATTTTTAGTATTGACCTTTTTTATCCTTGAAGTTTTACATTTTTTTAGCAAATTTCCAATTAAATAATATAATATGTCTACCGATCGGTTCCCAACACGCATTACTTAATCTTCAAATCTATCTGTTGGAGATACAATCCAAGTCCCACATCGGAAGTTTGATGGGACAATCAATAATATATAAAGGGTTAGGGCCAATCCACTAATTGCCAATTGGTTTTTAGTTGGAAGCCCAGAATTAGCCCAAATTTAACATGGTATCAGAGCCCAAGGTTCAAATTCTAGTGGACCTAGAAAAGTGGATACGGACATACCTCAAACCCGAGTAATGGGGGCCCGAGAAAGGGGCTTATTATCGGTCCGAGTGAGGGATCGAGGAGGTGTGTTAAGATCCATGTGGTCCTTGGATTGAAGGGGAGATTGTTGGAGATACAATCCAAGTCCCACATCGGAAGTTTGATGGGACAATCAATAATATATAAAGGGTTAGGGCCAATCCACTAATTGCCAATTGGTTTTTAGTTGGAAGCCCAGAATTAGCCCAAATTTAACACTATCTATCAATATTTCTCCACATGTTTCATTTTTATTTAAACTAACTTTTTAATATGTTACTCATCCTATAATAACTTGACATGCTTACATATTTTAGGAAAAAACTTCAAAAAAACTCAACCTATTAATTATATATGTACTAAATTGTTTTTATGTTTTTCATACTATTATCTATATTTTCTAAAGTTCAAACTTGAAAGTATTATATTTTCTACGATAACCAACTAATTATGCTCAAATTTTGAAAAATTAGAAAAGAAGATCAATAAATATATGAAACAACAACGAATGTGTGAGTTGTAAACAAACAAATAAATAAATAAAAGATAAGATTGTTGGGCTCAATGAGTCAACGATAATATGGACTGATTTTGGATTTGGTATTTCATTTGTTTAGTACAACAATTAATATACCGTAGAGTAAAAACATGGTAACAACGTCATTATACGATTCGAATGATCATGGTCATGAATGATTAACACATGCGATGAATTCACTTTTGAGAATAAACTGACATTTAATGTCAATTGTACAACATGCGTTAAAGATTCAATGACAAATAATTTGTAATCTGATTTCTTGATTATAGTCTGATTTTAGTTTCAATTGGGATATCAACCATTATTTATTACATTAGTATAATTCCAATAAAGGAGTTCCTGGTTTTGGCCAAACGGAAAATGTAAAAATGCGAACAAAGTCGTTGTAAATTTCCACGTTTATGCGGACATTGATCAAACCGGTGGGTCCGGTCCGACCAATGCTAGATCTCTTACGCATGTGATCACAAGATCTTGCTTCAGTAAAAAATTAAAAATAAAACCTAAAGAGTAAATAACTAAATATAGTTGTAATCAATGTTTAAGAAAGGGGTTAGGCGTTAAGCAGCGGTAATTCAGCGTCTAATGCATAAAACGGTTAATCTGGATTTATACGATTTTAGGCAGTTTATACGTTTACAACATAAAACATTACAAAAATAATATTCTCGAAAAACATATAAAAATATATATTAGAAAAATAAAAATATTGAATCATAAAAAAATATTAGACAAAAACATTTCTTTAATTCATATCAAACAAGATATGAACGTTTAGAACCATTTATATGGAGATAAAACATATAAATTTAAATCTCTGTACTTAGAAATTGAAAAAACACTAAACAAAATTATGCTATTTTAGGCGGTCGAAACGATCATATAGGTGTCACCTAAGCGCCTACCGCCTAGTCGGGACCTAGACAACTGTTCAGACCGCTTTTAGGAACATTGGTTTTAATAAATAAAGTCTGCTTTTAATTAACGAAAAATCCAAGTACGGAACTAATTCACTTACATAAAGCAGCCATAGCTTATGCAATCCGGTTTAAACGATTTGATATTGAATCGAAATCGTTTTAGCAAAAACAAAAATCAAAATATAAACCATATCAAGAAAAATTAAACCGGTTTTGTTTACAAATGTATTGGCGAATTATATTTGAATCAAACCAAATTAGAATGAAATTAACCGACCACAGTTGAGGGCTTTACAAATTTTTTTTTTTATAGAATATTTTTTGTTTAAAATTGGACCCAAACAGAATTATTTGAAACTCGACGGCCCTTTTCTTTTCTTTTATGTTATATAAAATATTTTCAAAAAACATCAAATCCAAACCAAAATTGAACCAAAAACCGGTTGGATGTTTTCACTTCTCTAAAGAAAAATATATCTATCAAATTGATGGTACAAATTTGTTTTCCGTAAATTGTGTACAACTATGGGCCTGATTGGTAACAGCTGTAGCTTTACATTTTTTGCTGTAGAAATATGACTGTAGGTTTATTTGCTGTGGCTGTAGATTTTAGTGCTGTAGTATTTTGGCTGTGGAATTTAAAATTTTGGAAAGTTGAAAATTATGTGCTTTAGGAAAAAAGGCTTTCTACAGCCAAAAAAATGAATTAAGGAAATATTTTGGCTGTGAGGAAAAAAAAGAAAGCCAAAGATTCTAAAGCTTGATTGGATGTATTTCAAATCTTTAGAAATTTTTTTGCTTTGTAAAGACTCTAAAGCACTTGCCAATCAGGCCCTAAGATATACTTGAACATCATCAACAAAAAAACTATCGAAAAAGAATGATAAGGGGGGTGATTGGCACAAGGCTTTGAAGACTTTAAAACATATCTAAAGTCTTTACAGTTTTGTTTTTGCCAATTAGGCTTTTTATACTTTAAGTTTTCTTAAAGTTCTCAAAGCCTCTTTTTTTTTTTCTTCTTTGTTTCCTTTATTTTTTTAAAGTCTCGAAAACATGGCTGTGAACCAAATATTAATTAAAAACTTTTTTTTTCTTTTCCCCATGATTCTTAAAAACTCTTTACAAGTTTATATATATACTTTTCACAATTGTTTTTAAGAAATTAATTACTACCATTTTTCTATCTTTCTTTTAAGATCCATTTCACTAATAATCATTTTATTTTTATCATCACCATTTATATTAGTGTAAGAGAGTTTTGATTAATATTTTTTTAAAAAAAAACCATATACATTCATATATGCCATTCAATTATTTCATTAATTGCTTCATTCTTAATAACTTTATTGAATTTTAATTACTCAAAATCATACAACTATTCAACCAAAAAAAACATTCAAAACAATTATTATCCGTAATAAGAGTTCAAGAATCATTCAAAACAAGTATTTAAATTATTTATATCTTTTAATTTATTTTTTAAATGTTTATTTGCTTTGTTAGCAAAATTTTATGTCGACTATTTTACCTGAATTTAACATTATTTAAATTTATTATTAATATATAATAATAATAAATAATAAGTCACAGCTTTTACAGCTTTGTTCTACCAATCGGATTTTAACAGCCAAAGTTTCTACAGCCAAAGTCTTTACAGCCAAATTCTCTGCAGCTCAAATTTTTAAAGTCAAAGCCTCTAAAGCCAAAACTAACAGCCGTTACCAATCGGCCCAAGATAAGTGATTAGTCGTAGAAAAGATAGTGATTAGTTAATACCGTTATAGTGGTCCATGTGAGTGGTCACACTGCTAAAGATAGGCTAATATAACTCATGCCCACAAAACCTATCAATTCACATCCAATAGGCGAAACAAAGCATGCACATAAATATTTTAACTGTAAAGTTACTACATGTAAATCTGCGTAAATATGTATACATGATTACTTGAATTAATTGAATACCACGTTATTGTTTTAAAAAGAAACAATTAACTTTTTGACATTATTTTTCTTTTCTTTAATCTAATCTTACCTTTAAATTAATCAACATTATTCTCATTTATGATTTATCTAATTATGTGTATTAACTAGCATTTTTTTGTAAAATGTATACTAACCATGAGGATATTTGTTTAATGGTAAGAGATTTTAATCGACCGACATAAAATCATGAGAAACGAGGAGCATTGATCCACAATATCTTTTGTCTTTCAACCTCATGATTCGTTGTCATGGAGAGGTTGCATGAATTAAATTAGTATCCCATGCATATTAGTCTTAGATCATGCATGCCCTGAGTAACGAAGATTGTCATGCCATATTTATTTACACACAATGACACAAATCTGGAGTATTTATTATAGTTGGCTTAAACCGGTTCTGGTTACTATTGGTTCGAATGTCTTTTGGTTTAGACAAATGATCAAGCACCAAAAATTAATTGAATACCACGTTCTTGTATTAAAAAGAAACAATTAACTTTTTGACATACTATTTTTTTTCAGATATTAAATTATAATATGAAATAAATTAATATTTCAAAAATAAACAACAAAATGGTGAATACTAATTTTGATAAGTATTACTATCATATCACAAATGAATTAAATAATTACACAGTAATGATTACCTTAAATAAATTTGTTTACATCTCCATAATGCTTTTTAGAGAAGGTAAATTAACATATTTGGTCGTATCCGCAAATATACAGAAACAATCCAAATATAGAAAACCAAATTATTATAAATTTTAAATATATATTAAAAAAAAAAGAAAAAAATAGGTGGAGGGTTTACATTGGGGTTTTGAGAGAGAGGCGCTTCTCTGCTACAAATTGCCTAACTGTGTTTCTCTCTTCCCTTTATAAAACCGCTTCCGTCGTCAATGGCGTGAACCTAAACTAAAAACCATTCTTCTCTCTTTTCATTTTTTTCATTCTCTCTCTCTTCTCCATCGTTTTCACACTTTTCTCGCCGCCCTTTATCCTTATCCGATAAACCCATCAAAACCCACAAATAAAAACAGACTCTTTTGTTCTTTAAACAGAGATCGAAAATCCAGAGTCACCGGAAAACCTCACCGCCGGTTACTCTCAGGTCTCTCTCTTTCACTCTGTTTCTCTGGTTACGACTCTTGTGTGTTTTTGTGTCTCTGATTTTCTCTGTTCTGGGTTTATTACAAATGAAAATGCAACAGCTTTTATCTTTTTTGGTCATCCCCTGTTTCTGCTTCTGTGATAAAGGAGATGTTGAATCTAGCAAAACCCAAATTCTCTATTAAGCATTTCTCAAAAGCTTCACGCTTTCTCTGTTTCTGGTTCTAGACTGATTTGGTTGGTGATATCTATGCAGGATTAGTTGATTTCGTTCGATTAAAATATCAAAAGGAAGAAGATGAAGTACGTGCTTGTAACAGGAGGTGTTGTGAGTGGATTAGGGAAAGGAGTAACAGCAAGTAGTATTGGTGTTCTTCTTAAAGCTTGTGGTCTTCGAGTTACTTCTATCAAAATCGGTACTTTTACTACTTTTACTTCTCTGTTACTCATCTCTCAAGTGATGTTTTTTTGCTTACGAAGCACTCAATCTTTCAGATCCTTATCTAAACACTGATGCTGGAACCATGTCTCCATTTGAGCATGGTGAAGTTTTTGTCTTGGACGATGGTGGTGAGGTAAATAGATATGATTTTTTTTTTTTTTTGTAACTTTTTGAAAAACTTCAGCTTTTGAGAACTTTTGAATCTTTTTTTTTCGGAAAAAAGGTGGATCTTGATCTTGGAAACTACGAAAGGTTTCTAGATATAAAATTAACCAGAGACAATAACATCACTACTGGGAAAATTTACCAGGTAAGAAGATATAGATCTCAACTAATTTGGAGGAGGTTGATTGATGAGTTAGGTTTACTTAATCTTCTTATACACTTCTCTGTCTGTGTCACAGCATGTTATTGCTAAAGAGAGGAAAGGAGATTATTTGGGAAAGACTGTTCAGGTAATCAATTAGCTTTCTTCAACTTAACTCTTTCTCTGGTGTTGGTTTCTAGTAAGTCTTAAAAAGTGTTTTGGTTGTTAATGATTTTAGGTTGTTCCTCATGTCACTGATGCAATTCAAGATTGGATTGAGAGAGTTGCGGTTATTCCTGTTGATGGAGAGGAGGGTCCTGCTGATGTTTGTGTTATTGAATTAGGTGGAACTATAGGTATACAAAAAAAAGAGAGTAAAACTGGATATTTGTTTTTGTTTTCTTGGTTTTGCTTCTTTTGTGTAAACAGAGATAGTTTATGCTTGCAGGTGATATTGAATCCGCGCCTTTTATTGAAGCGCTTGGCCAATTCTCCTACCGTGTAGGTAAGTATCATTTTCCTCATACCATTTGAATCCAAAAGAAAAGCTGAGTGGATTTTGTGGATATGATGAAAATAACTACTGCATCTTTTGGTTGGTGGTTGAGTTCAGGCCCAGGGAATTTCTGTCTGGTCCATGTCAGCCTCGTGCCTGTGCTTAATGTTGTTGGTGAACAGGTATAAATCTTTTCCTGAAATGAAGCAGCCATGATGTGACAGCATTTGATTCTATGTTTACATTATCTTCGTTTGTTTTGTGTGTTCTTTCAGAAAACTAAGCCCACACAGCATAGTGTCAAGGGGCTACGAGGCTTGGGCTTGACGCCGGATATCTTAGCTTGCAGGAGCACAAAGGTTTGTGTTTTGCTTGCATCTCCATCTTGACTTTAAATCTGTTTCATCCAGAAACGGACTCTTGGTGTATTAGATTCTTGTTCTAATATAAAAGTCTCAACCTTTTGCTTCATGAAGCCTCTTGAAGATAATGTGAAAGAAAAACTAGCTCAATTTTGCCATGTCCCGGTAAGATGCTATACGATGCTGCCTTTTGTCCCTTGTTGTTATGTTCTTTACTTGAAATCTCTTTAATTTACCAGCTTATGGTTCTTGTTTCAGCTTCAGTATATCTTCACTCTCTATGATGTTCCCAACATTTGGCATATTCCTTTGTTGCTAAAGGTACCTTTTCTCAACTAAAACTATTTGTAGTCACCACACCAGTTTTTATAAATCATCAAGACAACAATGCTCAAAATATTTTGCTTTTACAGGATCAGAAAGCTCATCTGGCAATCTCAAAAGTGCTCAATCTTGCTAGGTATGTATTGTGTCTTGTTTTGTCTTTTGTTTTCTTGGTATGTGGCTTGCTTGATTTGCGACTGAAATGGATCGGAACTGATTTAATTGTTTATGAAACAGTATTCTTAATGAGCCTTCTCTAGGGGAATGGACTTCCAGAGCTGAACTATGTGACAATTTACATGTGCCGGTGGGTCTCAGCTCTCAATTACTCCTTAGAAACCGTAACCTTAACATCTCTTCCTTAACGGATCAAATTATTTTACAGGTGAGAATTGCTGTTGTGGGGAAATATACAGGCCTCTCTGATGCTTATCTATCTGTCCTAAAGGTAGATCTTACGCATCACCTCTCATGGGATACTGTCTGGATAACAAAATGATTTCCTTGCCTTGGTTCTCACATTTGGATAACTTGTTTAGGCTCTCTTACATGCTTCTGTGGCTTGTCGCAAAAAGCTCGTAGTTGATTGGGTTCCAGCTTGTGATCTCGAAAAAGAAACTGAGAAAGAGGTGTGTAAAACTGATACTGCATGTTGATTACACATCATTGCTTTTACTTGTTCACAAATGTTAATGTAGAGTCATGGTTTTTTTTCCGTCTAAGCAGAATCCAGATGCGTATAAAGCTGCTTGGAAGTTGCTAAAGGTTTGAAATGTTTGCCATTTTACAACTTTAATCATCAAGAAGCTTTGTGTTTTTGCTCATCTCTATTGGTATCTTCTTCAGGGTGTAGATGGAGTTCTTGTCCCTGGAGGTTTTGGTGATAGGGGAGTGGAAGGGAAGATTCTTGCTGCAAAATATGCCCGTGAAAACAAAATCCCTTTCCTCGGTATTTGTCTCGGGATGCAGATTGCTGTCATCGAGTTTGCACGATCAGTTCTCAGCTTGCACGACGCAAACAGCACAGAATTTAAACCCGAAACCAAACATCCGTGCATCATTTTCATGCCCGAGGTTCTTAGATTGTCTGTCTCTTTACATAAATTGTTTTCATTACAGTCTTCCTGATTTTAATTTATTTTCATGCTTGCTGGGTGTAGGGTTCGAGAACTCATATGGGAGGCACTATGCGCTTAGGATCAAGAAAATCCTTCTTTAATGTCAAAGACAGCAAATCCGCAAAACTGTAAGAACCATTGATCTATCATCTATATTTAACTGCGTTGGTTCTACATATGAATGATATATATTACTTAGCATGATTCTGTCTACCTGGTTCTTATAGATACGGAAACAAAAACTTTGTCGATGAGAGGCATCGTCACAGATATGAGGTAAGAATTTGGATACAAATTATTTGATTAGCCACCAGTTAATATGACAAAAGTGGAATTCTTAATATACACATACACATTTCTCGCAGGTGAATCCTGATATGGTTGAACGCCTTGAAAAAGCCGGTCTCTCTTTCGCTGCAAAAGATGAAACTGGCAAACGCATGGAGGTTTGTTTTTTAATCTTTAAAATATTGTCTTAAGTTCAAATCCATTTACTTCAAATTCAAACACTTGACTAATCTTGTACTGATATGGCAGATCATTGAACTCCCAAACCATCCTTTCTTTATCGGTGCTCAATTCCACCCCGAGTTCAAATCCAGACCCGGGAAAGCGTCTCCTCTGTTTTTAGGTCCGAACCCTTTTCTTAATCAGTCTCAAAGATCCAAACTTTATCTCTCTCTGTTCTCTCTTAAGTAACCTGACATCAACTCAAGTCTTTTAAACAATCTTCTTGTTGCAGGACTCATTGCAGCATCATGTGGCGAGCTAGACACAGTCCTGCATCCAGCCACTGCTCATCAACATCCGATTAGTAACGGTCCAAAAAACGTTTACGTCAATGGAACTCCCAAGAAATCTCCCAATGGTTTGGCTGATGTAAGATATAATAACGGCTACTGCAATGGCCTCTACACTAGATAGCTGCATTTGCTGAATTCTCCCTCTTTCCCTCTCCTTTAGAATTATTGCTTCGTTTTCGATTTAGTTTGGATTTTGGTTTGCTTTCTTTTTAATAATCTTAGGATTTTTCCTCTGTACATATGATCCAAGCTTTTATTCAGGTTTTTTAGACTCTTTTAACAGACTTATGTTCTGAAAAGACTCTAGAAACGTCTGAAAATGGCAGTTGATTTACCCTGGTTTGTTTTTTTTTAACATCAAAAGGGATTTCATATGATCATATGTACCGGTGGAACATTTTGTATCTCGATTTGGTCTGAAGGTGAACGAAGCATTTGATAAATAAAACTTTTAAGATAGAAACCTAACTGAAATTTGGAAGATAACATCGAATTCATTTTGTTATGAAATATGCACGAGTAAAAGAGTGCAGTCCTAATATGTTCATAATATAAGCACTATTCAATTCTTTGTTGATATTCTGGTCGTGTGCATTGAAACTTATACCCTTCAGGAGGATATTAAGCAATTGTAGTCATAAAAGTTTTGGTTAAGATTGTTTTGTTGTCACTATTCATCTTTTTATCTTTTATTATCAACTTCTTTGTAATGAAAACATGTAAGCATTTAGCATCCAAGCTTGATCACATCATAATTGAAATGAACTATTATTCCAAATTTCAAACTCAAAATGATGTATGTTATGAAATAGTTTGAATAAGAAAAAATATATATAGAGTTAAAAGGCAGATGACTTTTAAAAAGACACAATTGTTTGTAAATACAAATATTGGAATGAAAAGTTGTGATGATCAAACACAAATCAAGTATCGTGAAAAGACACAACTTTAAATGAATAGATTCAATTTTCTAAAAAGGCACAACCATAACAAATAAATTTTAAATTATTATAAATCAAAAAAATATATTTTATGAAGAGGTACGATAAAATGAAGTAACCGAATAATGCATTTATTCATATTGCTACGAAACCGAATGCCTTTTACACTTTTTAAATGGTTTATATTTTTATAAAACCAAACCGTCAGCGAGAATGCCCATCCCTTATAATCCTAACGATGAATGATAAAGAATGAATATACACGATGCTTTCGGAATGAAAGCCTTTTTCGCTAACAAATCAAAATATATTGTCTTCCTTCTTTAGAATTCATTCGAATCTTATATGATTGTCGTTCTTAACTATCATCGGTTGGATGAATTTTCCGTTCTTGACTATCATCGGTTGGATGAAATTTCCGAATCGTCTAAATCGACAACATCTTCTCTTACACCGATTCGTCTATTCATCCTCTTTATTCTTGTTTCGAAATAAGGGAGATTATCAAAAATGGATAAATATATATTCAAGTTAATGTATTTTAAAAACCCTTTAACAAAAAAAAAAAGTTGAATGTACTAAATTAAATTTTATATATGAAGAAGTGCAAAAGAACGTACCTTCGTAACTGTTGGTGGCTACTTAAGAGACCAACAAAGACTCTCTATCTCTTTTCATATCAAAACTCTCTTCTCATCTTCTTCCTCAGCAAGGTAAAAACCCTTTGATCTTCTCTTCAAAGTTTCAAAACTATAGGTCTGTCTATCATTAAATCTTTTTTGTTTGTGTGTTCATCAGAGCCATGCAAGACGATTACAAAGCTATACTGGAAGAAAGACTAAATTATCTCCTAACAAAAAGAACCGTTTGTTATGCTGAGCTTGATACAAGAGGAAAAAGAATCGAATGTCCAAATTGTCACGTTCAAATTATTCCTACTCTTGGTAAAAATATTATAAGATCAATTTTTTTGCTTACGTTCTCTTTGTTACAAAAATGTTTTTTCTTTTCAAACTATTTTGTTAATACTTTTGATTTGGTTATTACTACAGGAAATTGGATCTCGGATAAGTTTCCATGTAAAAGCTGCAAAGCTAACTTATGTTTTAGAAACAGCACAGCAAAAAACGCGAGATGTACAAGTATGTGTTCTTGAAACATATCAAGAAACAGATTTTTTTTTTAGTTCAGAAATTGAAACTATGGTTCTGATTTGTTTAATCTCATTTTTTGTTTCATAAAAATGTTCTTTAGACAATCTTATAATGCTTGAGTGTGGTGGATGTCCAGCGAGAGTCGTTCATCAAAAAAGTGATAAAACTGTGAAATGTTCTGAGTGCAAACATATCAATATTCTAACCGTAATGTTTCTGATTTTCTCTTATCATTTAAAAATTGTTTGCGAATTTCTTCATACTCTAATGTTTGTTGTTGGTTTAGGTTGGAAGAACTTATGGGGTTCGTCCAGAGGACGTCCAAGCTCCTCCGCAAGTTTACCGGATTATTCCTCCTCAAGTTAACCAAGATCTTAACCAGGTTCCTCCTGAAGTTAACCAAGCTTACCGGGCTGTTCCTATTCCTCAAGTTAACAAGGATCTTCCTCAAACTTACAAGCTTGTTCCTTGTGACCGTAACGGGGTTGTTTCTCCTCAAGTTAACCAAGATCCTTCGCACCTTTACCAGGTTGTTCCTCGTGAAGTTAACCAGGTTCCTCCGCAAGTTAACCGGGTTATTCCTCCTCGAGTTTACCAGCGGAGGAACCGTGCAGCAACTCCTGAAACTGAATCAACTGCGAGTTCTTCTTTCAATGTGAGTAAAATGTTAAATGTTATCTCTCTATTTCTCTTAAAATGCACTAGCAACTTGCTTTATATTTACCCTTGTTGCAGCCAAGACCTGAGATCATTGTAGTTGAATACCCTGATGATACTGTTGCTGAAACTGTAAGTATGAGATTTTATATACAATTCTTTTGAGGTGCTTGTTATTGATTCTTGAAACGTTTTGAAACATTGTGCTTTGATTTTGGTTGTGTTTTGTTAGGTGAGGAATGTTGCAATCAAGAGAGAAGTAGAAGAAGACAAGACAGAAGAAGCAGGAAGCAAGAAGATTCGTCTCTAATCGATTAAAAAATTTGCATCGTTTTTTTTTGTTTTACACATTTTGTTTCTTTTAGTTTTCCTCAGTTGATCAAACTCTCTCATGTGGAGATGTTTTTTCTTTAGTTTTCTTTTCTGTTTTTCATTTTATTTTATTTTTGCACTACTTTGAACTATTAGATTACACAGTCAAGATTCAAGAACCTTATTTTGATTCAACAATTTGACTTCTTCGTACTTTTGTGATCTTTTTAAAAATAATAGTTTAGAAATGTAAGAAGTATTAAATTATAGGGACTAAAAGTGAAATTTCTATCTCCATTTCCTATAAAACGACGCGTTTTGGATAAAAAAGAAACGGTCAAACTCTTTACTTTTCCGACGCGGACAGAAGAAACCCAAAGACGACGTTCGACGAACGATTACGGAAGAACAAAAAATGGCTTAGATAGAACCGTAAATAAACAGAAAAGTTGAGGGTAATTAAGTAATTTCAGCATCAAGATTAGATCATCGTACGGTACGGTGTGATCTAACGCTGATCCGTTAAAAACTGTGAGAGAGTGCGTTTTGTTTGGCGGGTGTTCTCTAACTTCCTCGTTTTTCCAGAAACTTACTTCAAAATCATTTTCTTGTCTTTCTCTGTCTCAAATCTCTTATTTTTGAATTTTGTTTTATATATTAATCTTGATGATTTTTATTTTATAAAGTTATATATATTTGATAGAAAAAAAAAGAAGATTCGTATAATCAGAGATAATCTCAAAGACACTCCTTGTTCTTGAAATCTCAGCCGTTCGTTTAAGGTAAACTCCATCTCGACTTTTCCTTTTTTTTTTTTTAAACGTTTTTTGTAATTTTGTAACTAGTAAATTAATTAAAAAGTTAAATGATATTTTAAGTTCCTGGTTAAGTTCGGTTTGTGTTTTTTTTTTTTTTGTATTTTATGTGTTCCTTCTTATTCGTCGTTACTAGGTCAATTAAATCTCTTTCTTAAATTTTCCCAGATTTGGGTATTTCTAACTTTAACTGCGAATTCAATTCTTATATCATTAATTGGGAAAAAAAGCAAAAACTTTGAAGCTTTTTCGTTTCTGGTAGGTAAAAAAAAAAAAAAAAAATCTACAAATTTATGAAATTTCCAATCTTGTGTTCTTGTGATTGAATTTAAATATTTTTGATGTTCTTGTTGTTGATCCTCTGTTTGTGAATTCAATTAGGGTTAGGACTTCTTTTTTAACTTCTCTTTATTTGATATTGTTTTAGTTTTTGGATATATATTTTTGTTGATAACATCGTTTTCTTATCTTTTTTTTTTCTCAGTTTCATTGGCTCTCAATCGAAGAAAACTTTAGCTTACAAAATCTGCTTTGAGTATTGATTTCAATTCATATGGATAATAATCTCAGCGTTGCTCCATTAGAATCTGAGATCAAAGAGGTTAGTTTTCGATGTTTAATTCATATCTCAATCGATTAATCACTTAACAATTATCGTTTTTCTTGTTTGTTTATGGTTAATTACTGAAGATTATAACCTTGAATCATTAACAGTATTGATAATTGTAATTAGCTTTGGTTTTTTTATTCATCATAGATTTGTTTAGAGACATTTATTTTCCGGATCTCGTTTGTTTACTTGATTTAGCAAAATACCTAATCATAGATCATATAGATCTCTTCGTCGTTTTTTTTTTTGATTTGTTTATGTTGAATTATAGAGTAGTTTTGTTGTTTTTGCTTGATCTTCTTGTAACGGTGATCAGAGTTTCTAGCTCTGTTCATCGATATTTTTGTTCTTCTTCCCTAAAAATAAATTTATTTGTGTTTTTTAATACAGTCTCTGAAGAATCATCCTCCAGACAAGGATAAGGACAAAGACACTATTATGGAACAACCTAGTAGTCCACGTCATCGGAAGGTAAGAGAGTATATGAATGATGTAATCTGATGCAATCCAAAAAGTTATAAATCTTGAAACAACTTTGATCTTATATAATGTTTTTGTATATGTTAAAGGTTGTTGCTAGATGGTTACCGGATGAAGCGCAGAGGCCGATTATCGATGAAGCTCCGGTATTCACCCCATCGTTAGAGGTACTAATTGCTCGTTGTTTTTCATGAAATCGTTTGAGATTTTTTTTCGTTTCTTTTGTTGATGTTTTGAGTTCTTGTTCATTGATTTTCGCCTTTTCGGGTTATCAGGAGTTTGAAGATACACTTGCTTATATCGAAAAAATACGTCCACTAGCAGAGCCGTTTGGTATCTGTCGAATCATCCCACCATCGACATGGAAACCTCCTTGCCGGCTTAAGGAGAAGAGTATATGGGAGCATACGAAGTTTCCCACCCGGATTCAGAACGTGGACCTGCTTCAGAACCGCGAGCCGATGACAAAGAAACCAAAGAGTAGAAAACGGAAAAGGAGAAGAAACTCGAGAATGAGTTCGTCTAAGAGACGATCTGGTTCTTCTCCCTCTGAATCGACTTCATCTCCCGAGACTGAGGAGAAATTTGGTTTCAATTCTGGTTCAGACTTCACTCTTGAGGAGTTTGAGAAATATGCTCTGCATTTTAAAGACTCGTACTTCGAAAAGAAAGACTTTGGTGGAGATATAGTAAAATGGAAACCGTCTGTGGATGAAATAGAAGGCGAATACTGGCGGATAGTTGAGCAACCAACAGATGAAGTGGAGGTATAGAAACAGACCATTTCACCAATAAAACACTTTTATACATCTATAAATAAACTAAAGCCAATTTTTGTACTTTTGCTTGTTATAGGTATACTATGGAGCTGACTTGGAGAATGGGGTACTTGGAAGCGGGTTTTATAAAAGAGCGGAAAAGTTAACCGGTGGCGATATGGATCAGTACACAGTATCTGGCTGGAACTTGAATAACCTGCCGCGTCTCCCCGGCTCTGTCCTCTCTTTTGAAGATTGTGATATCTCTGGAGTTCTAGTTCCTTGGCTCTATGTAGGAATGTGTTTTTCATCATTTTGTTGGGTAAGTACACTTTCACACTTTGATTATTTATAAGAATTTCTTCTCTAATCTTCGGATGGTTGATATTTCTTTGTCTTGAACAGCATGTGGAGGACCATCATTTATATTCACTGAACTATCATCACTTTGGGGAGCCAAAAGTATGGTATGGTGTTCCAGGAAGCAATGCAACCACTCTCGAGAAGGCGATGAGAAAACATTTACCTGATCTGTTTGAAGAACAGCCTGATCTACTTCATGGCCTGGTTAGGAAGAAAACAACTACTCGATTTTATTATTTTCTCCTGTTTAGTGTCCACCATGTTTAGAGTCTAACTCTTCCTTTTTACTGAATTCAGGTTACTCAGTTTTCTCCTTCAATCCTGAAAGATGAGGGAGTCCAGGCTTACCGGGTGGTTCAGAATTCAGGGGAGTTTGTATTGACATTCCCGAGGGCGTATCATGCAGGATTCAACTGCGGTTTCAACTGTGCAGAAGCGGTTAATGTGGCTCCTGTTGATTGGTTGACTCATGGACAGAACGCTGTGGAACTCTACAGTAAAGAGACAAGGAAGACTTCTCTGTCTCATGACAAACTTCTTCTTGGAGCAGCTTATGAAGCGGTTAAGGCCCTTTGGGAACTCTCAGCTTCTGTGGGAAAGGAAAATACAACAAATTTGAGATGGAAAAGTTTCTGTGGGAAGAACGGGACACTTACCAACGCGATCCAGGTAATGAAATACGGTCATTACTTGAGTCATGATACTGAATATGGTTTTTACTTTCTAATGCTTACTTGGTTCATTTGTTTTGAAAATGTTGACAGGCTCGGTTACAAATGGAAGAGGGAAGAATTGCAGCTCTTGGTAGGGATTCTTCGAGCTTGATGAAGATGGCGAAGGACTTTGATTCAAACTGTGAAAGGGAATGCTTCTCATGCTTTTATGATTTGCATCTCTCTGCTTCTGGTTGCAAGTGCTCTCCCGAAGAATACGCGTGTCTCAAGCATGCAGATGATCTTTGTTCATGTGATGAGAAGGATAAATCCATCCTTCTCCGGTACACAATGGATGAGTTAAGCTCGTTGGTCAGAGCATTGGAAGGGGAATCAGATGATTTAAAGATATGGGCTTCCAAGGTCTTAGGCATTGAACACAGTGATGAAGATCAGACAAAGACTAGTTCAGTTATCAGTGAGGAGAAGAAGTTAAAAGAAGGTTCAGTTATCAGTGAGGAGAAGAAGTTAAAAGAAGGTTCAGTTATCAGTGAGGAGAAGAAGTTAAAGGAAGGTTCTTTTGATCTGAACATTGACTTAGAGTTGGATTATCAAGAAGACCTTAAAGAAGAAGTCAGCACTAGTGGCGGCGAGTTAACCGCCTCAGAGAACCTTGGTGTATCGGTTGAGCCTATAAACCTCGGGTTCTTGATTTTTGGAAAGCTTTGGTGCAATAAGCATGCTATATTCCCAAAAGGTACTATCTTTGAAAAGCCCTTTTGTTAATGTTACTTAATCAGAAATTTGCTGAATAGATTGTTGAGGTTTTGGTTTTTGCAACTTTTACAGGATTCAGGAGTCGTGTCAAGTTCTACAATGTGCTTGATCCAACAAGAATGAGCAATTACATCTCCGAGGTTTTGGATGCAGGACTCATGGGTCCATTGTTCAGGGTCACTCTGGAAGAATCTCCAGACGAGAGCTTCTTCAATGTCTCAGCCCAAGAATGCTGGGAAATGGTGTTGCAGAGAGTTAAAGATACATCCTCAAGTCTTGGTCTTCCTACATTATCGCAGTTTGAGGGTATCAACGGTCTTCAAATGTTTGGTTTCCTCTCGCCATCTATAGTTCAGGTAACAAATTTAAATCCAAACCTTGTTCTACATTCAAATCCTACCAATCTTTGCTCTTTACACAACTTAAACTCTTCTCTACAGGCCATTGAAGCTCTTGACCCAAACCATCGACTCGTTGAGTACTGGAACCACAAGAACCAAACTTCATCAGACTCAAAAGATCACTTCATATCATCAAACTGTTCCGCAAGTTTAACCAAAGGAAAACTTTTCGGAGTAGATTTGATGTAAACAGCTCAAGAAGCCAACAAGACTGTACCAACTCCGAGACAACAACAACAACAACAGTGACATATCTTTTAGATAGATAGAATAAATTTCTTTCTGATTCTTTTTTTTGGAGCATTTATTCATAATCTTTTGTTCTTTTTATCACTGCAAGAACAAATAACCTAACCTTAGCGTTAGTGAAATGTAAACTAGAAAAGAAAAGTCATAATAATAGAAATTCTTCTTTAAAATCAAGAAAATTTGCTATTGCTTAATGTGAAAAACTTTACATTATGTTCAGAATTTCACAAAATCTTGAAAAAAATAAAGACTTGTAAAAGACAAAAAGACATTTACTTTTCACGCCGTTAGTGTAATCTTGACGGTTAATTTGCCGGTAAAAGTCGCCGGAATGTTGAGTCAGAACAAAGCCAGAGCCGCCAATGGAAGCAAGAACGAGCCAGTTGAGTAATGTATAGTGGATGCAGAAACAGAGGTTTGATTGTTGTCACTGTTGGATCCACCACGAGGACGACGACGGCGATGAGACCATGGACGGAGACTATCAGCTAAAGTAGTATCACCGGTACCAATATCGCCGTAACGTGAGAAATCAAGCGACGAAGCAACACCGTGAATAGCGATCGAAGAAGAGAGGAAAAGATCCGGTTCAGAAACAAGAACGCCGTCGAGAGTATAACCGGAAACAGAGTTGTTAGTGACGACGATTGAGTTTCCCGGGAGAAGAGTCGGAAGACGAGAGAGTGGTTTCAAGAGACGAAGATCGGTGAACGAGAGTCGTTGAGGTACGATGTGGTAAGCGACGGAGAGACGACGAGGATAAGCATTATTGTCGCCGGTGGTGGAGGAGGAGGAGACGTCGGCGGAGTCGAAATCGCTTGGGACGAAAATGGTGGCGGAGAGAGGGATTCCTAACTGGTCATCGACGGCGGAGAGGAAATCGGCGGCCCAGTCACGGAAATCTCCGGCTCCGATCATTGCTTCGATGATTCTGTCGGCGTGTTGGTGATCTTGCGACGTGAGATACGGAGGAGAAGCGGCGGAAGTGAGGGACGTGACGGTGGTGATGAGGAAGAAGAGAAGGAGATGGCTTGAGGTAGCCATCGGAGAATCAAATCGGCGGCGAAGTTGTAACAGAAAGAGAGAGAATCTTTTTGAGTTCGTTAGGATTCTTTAACAATGTAGACGAACTCTGTTCTTGCTTTATATACCTCTCTGGTTTTTAACAAACCGGAGTATGAAGAAAGGATTAGTTAAACCGGTTCCGGTTTGGTTTAGAGATTGAGATACTGACTAAGTTACCAGCAAAGTCTCTTACGTGTCAAAGATGTGGTCTTCAATCATCCGACGCAAGAGATTCGTCGATTCTTACTACGTTTTGTCCTCAACGCGATCGCGTTTTACAATCACGTTTAGTCACAGAGTATGATACCAAGCGTTTGTTCATCTACTCTTCTTCGTACGAGGAAGAGGAATCTTCTTCTTTGGTCCCCAGGCTTGACATTACAATACCTTCTGTGACCATGTGTTACCCCGCCAAGTGTCCCTCCATCCGCGGCTTTGTCGGTTGTTGTAGTGATACTGATACTCACTTCATTTTATGTAACCCGACCACGAAGCAAGTCATTACCTTACCCATTAAAGGACCTCGAGCATGCTTTGGATTAGATATGATCCTGTTGGTGATCACTTCAAAGTATTTGACTTGGTGACTTCTCCTGACCAGTTTCTTGGGTTTCTAGTGCACGAGGTTATTACACTTGGACGAGGAGGAAGAGGAGAAACACCCAATCAGGTTACCACCGCTCCTTATTACCCTGTAACCAATAATGGGTTTTCCATCAATGGTTTCCTCTATTATGCTGCTTGGGCTCAGAGAATGAGAATGGATCCGGTTATTGTGTGTTTTGATGTTAGATATGAGAGTCTAAGTTTTATCACAGCGCCTAGGGATGTTGTGGCTTGGGAGAGTGATTCAGTTTTGATAGAATACAAAGGGAAGTTAGCTTCCATTGTTAGAGACCCTTTGAGCTTCTCTAGCTTTGATTTATGGATACTAGAGGATGTCAAGAAACATGATTGGTCCAAGCAAACCTTTGAGCTTCCCTTCCCTTTGGTGAATAGGATGACTTCCCCGGGCACCAACAAGGCTGGTGAAATCATTTTTGCCCCAATGTTTCTGCCATATGATGTTGAGCAACCCTTCTTCGTTTTCTACTACAATGTAGAAAGAAAAGACATCAGAAGAGTTAGGCTCCAAGGAATTGCAGACAATAAAGAGTTTCGGCACCGATATGGACTCATTGTCGCAGCCCATATGAGCGTCTCTATCTCACCCGAACACATCGAAAGTATTGCCTCTTTATAATGTGTTTTATTTATTTTCTTGAAGGACCTTAATGTAAGAGCTTGGCAGACTCTGATTTTTGCTTTTTTCTTTCTTTTTCTTTTCATCAATAATTAAGTGTTGGCTCTTCAACACCAACCAAACTACTGTTTGTTATCTTACTACTACTGATGATTTGCATCTTCTGTCATGTGTTACTATTCTTTAGTGTTATTCATATTTTGAATGTTTTTCTAAATCTTGTTTTTGCTCAGAATAAGATATTAGACCATTTTGGCTCCAACTGCTTACATTGTGATTATATAGTTCACCAAAGTGATTATATAGTTCAGTGTCGAACACAACTGCTTACATGCTGTGTCAAAACAGCTCTACAAACTCTTGATTTTTGATGCTAACCCACTGAGTATTCTAACCACTTCCATATCTAAGAAATCACAACAATTGCTTTAAACGTTAAATTCACAATGACTTAAAAGTTACAATACTTGTGTTCTGTTTGTCAGAAACTCTTTATAAGAACTGGATAGATTCCCCAAAACCGAATCCGAGGACTCACTTCTCGAACCATTAACCTCAAAACTGAAACTTTCTCAAACCGGGACAGGACCTTGGAGTCCAGCTCTGAAATGGTAACCGTGACGCAACCTCCCCTTTTCTTGTTCAGTGCACGTTTCTAGCATATTGTTGAACGTCTACGTGTGTGGCAATACTCTTGATTCAAAATAGAAGATGTAAGCTGCTTTCTTGCTGTTTCCCGAGCCGGGGCAGTCTCGTGCATGTGCTTAGTGTTGTTGGTGAACTGAACAGTATAACTTTTCCTGAACGAAGCAGCATTTGATTCTATATGTCCCGGGCGGGCTTGGCACCAGATATTTTAGCTTGAAATCTGTTTCATCTAGGAATATATGTCTCTTGGTGTATTATCTTTTTGTTTTGATATTATAAGGCTCAACCTTTTTCTTCATTGAGGCACTTGAAAAGAATGTGAAAGAAAAAGTAGCTCAACTTTGTCAATGTTTCAGGCTTGCACTCACCCTTTTGTATGTTCTTACGATAATTTTTCTTCAAGCTCTAGAAATCATAGTATTCTAAAAAAAGAGGCGAGTATATATAAGTTAATGCCAGAAGTTTGACAATGTAGGGAGGATTACTAGATGGAACATTGATTGCGATAAAGAAGCTATCTTCCTAATCATGTCAAGGCAACAAAGATTTGTAAACGAGATCAGTATGATCACTTGCCCCTGAAGCACCAAATCTAAGGCTAGAAGTAATGTTCGATGTGATGATCATCTCCAACGCTGGTGCTGACTTGCGATTCAAGCAATCATCTCTGTCTTCTGATTATGTGGTGTCGATTGTTACGTCATCCTCTGAATCTGCTTATGATCTGTAGTCCATTGTTTTTACTAGACAGTAGCCTAAACCCATTGATTATATCTACACTAGTGTTTCTCTCGTTGTGGGCTAGATTCGGTTCCAGACAAGTGTGAAATTATGGCTCATTTTGTAGTATAGTATATAGTATATCTTTTTCTATTAAATTCGTTATAAAACTAAGTCTAACTTAATTGATAATTGCATTGCGTTTACTTACTATGAGTCTTCGTCCCTTGAACATGACTTCAAATGCTTTCTTTGTAGTATAAGAACGAGTGGTGTGTTTACTTGGACTCTTTCTAGTTTCTACGTTTCATATATAAATGCTTTTTCATTCTAGTATACGAACGAATGGTGGTGCCAAACAAATCTTTCTACTCTTTTGACTCTATAAAAGTGAAATATCAACAATATTTTCCGCATATTATATAAATCTTTTGTTGAGGATAACATTGTGATTAACCAAATTAAATATCGGTATGTCGATCATCTTGAGTTTTTTTTTTTTTTTTTTCTTCTTCTTGTTCTGAATCATCATCACAAGCTTCATACAGGTGAAGGTACGAGAAGAACCCCCATTTTCCAAAATTCATATAAAATCATAGTAAGAATAGTCTATGGTTTATAAAAATTACAACCAATAATTTGGTCAACCGACATTAGCCACTAAAGGCGGCTTAAGTTCTCACATTCTAAAGTACTAAACGAAGAAAAACCGATGATGCTTGCTTCATGAAAGCTACCAGGACTCTCGTCTCTCGAGCTTGTTAATGTGAAAATGGATGCATGGAATTATCATTGGAAGGAAGGTTGATCTCAATGCTCTTGATTCTTAAATGAAGCCTTAGCAAAAACTTTGGAACAAATGTTTGTTTTTTTGAGACACGTCCTGCAACAAGTGAGCTCCAATTATCATTCATGAGATTCCATGTGATTCTACAAGTCGTCACAAATGCATTCATATATATATGTCATAACTATTTCCTCTTACATTATAGGAGAATTCAAAAAGAAAGAGGACGTAGGACTCGAACTTGAACGGCAAGGACGTCTACTTAGAGGGGGGCAATGACCACTAAAAGAAGAAGCTCCATTTATATGAACGTAAGCATAGTTTTTCATATTTATTTCATTACAAGTGGACTTTTGATTTGGTTGTGCTTAGCTTAAGCCATGATATATCACAAACATGCATCAAATCTAGCTGCAATGCAATAGAATCCGAAAATGTTTTTGTCTCACTGAGATGCAACATTTAACAAATCTAAGATAACCCGAGTTTAGAATTAGTCCGGGATTTTTTTTGACATATCTAGTATGAGATATATATGAATATCACTCTTTGTGATGGCTCTTAGTATTAAGTAAAAAGTTTTGACTCTTTCTTGCCATCAAAAGAAGACGAAAACAAAAGCCTTAATGGTTGTAGATTTTAAGGTTGTTTTTGGTTTAGTTTTTACAAAAATTTACTTTATGGCCAATCAAGATTATGAAAAAATGGTTTTCCTAAAAATTAGAGAATCTAGATTTTGATAGTTTGTGTCAATTTTCAAAAAAAAAACTTAAAATCTATGTTTTATGGGTTTTTACTTTTTAATGTGACTTGACTTTTTTTTTCTCCATTTTTATTTTTTAAATACATTCTAATATAAAATTTAAAAACTATAAACCAAAATCCAAAAACTATAAACCAAAAACTACTTAAAAACTTGCAACATTCATGGCCAAAAACTCCAATCCTATGAGATTATAAAAATCTCAAACTGAATTTTGCTTTGTGGATATTTTCCTATATATTTGAAATTTAATATAAAAAAAAATTACATGTTTATCTAACAATAATGAGAATTTTTATAATTATCATGTATCTATATAAAATATGTGATTTTGATAAAATATAATAGTCTTTTACAACAGCAAATTAAAGTTAATTTCAAAAACAAATTGACATAGGTAGTTTTCAAATTTTCTAATGTAGATTGGATATTTTACGAAAACTTCTTTAACGTCGTTTATCTAGTAATTTAATTTTTAGACTTCATATAAGTATATATATATATAAGGAATTATATTGTTTATTTCTATAAATGAAATGAAAAATGAAAATATGTTTTAGCGGATCAAAGTTGAAAAAAAATCGGAGAGCTCACAAAAAAACCTCGTCGTCTTCTTCGTCCTGCGATGTCCCCTTGTGAGTCTAGGGTTTTCTGTTCTTCAAATCTGAAAATCGAGAATCATAGATCTAGCCATCTAGGTTTGATGTTCTAATTTCATCTTTTCTTCCATAATAGGTTTCGTCAGATTAGAATCCATTGTTGATCTCTGTCCGCGAGCATTAGGTCTTTTGATCAAACACTGAGACTCCTCTTCTTCTTCCCGGTGAGTTTCTCTTAAGGTAGGGTTTTCTTTCGGTTGAAACATGGATCGTAAGAGTGTTTCTTGTGTTTGCTTTAGGAATGGATAAGCTTAAGTGTCTTGTGTTTGAACAGTTGTCTTGTGTTTCTTGTTTTGCTTTAGGAATGGATAAGCTTAAGTGTGTTTGGTTTTGTCCAACGGAAGAATAGCTAATTGAAGAGTTCCTTGTATCGAGGCTACGAGGTGAAAGAGACAGACCCGACTTCCTCATCGATGACTTTGAGCTCTATGAGAAGACACCTTTGGATGCTGATTACCCTGGAAATGTCTATTTTCCTCCGCACAATTTCTGGTGCTTTGTGGAGAGAACCAGACTGAGCCCGAATTCCTCTCAATCGAATAGAGCGATCCGCCAAAATCGTTGTAATTGAAGGTGGAGGTACAGCTCAAAAAAACCAATTATCCGGGGCACTCAAACCCTTGGATACAGAGAAATATTAGATTTCGTCAACGCTGATAATAAAAAAAACAGGATGGAGGCAATCCAAATATGTCAAATCTGTTGATGATGGAACATTTCAAGTTGTTTCTGTGGTCTTGATGATGCTGTTGATAAGTAAAAATTCCTCTAAGCGTAACCATTATAGCAGTGATAAATGACAAATAACAACTACATGTTGATTTACATGTTGATGTCCCTCTTAGCTTTCAAGATCCATCCTTTGTGGTCATTTTAAATCAACATGTAGCTGAAGACATCAAGCTCTTCTTCATCAAGTTTCACCTCTTCTCCAAGTAGACCAAAGTTACTTGCCGTTTTCGCCGGTTGTGCCCGTTGATTTTCTACAATTAATCACGAGAGTTGATCCAATTCTCATAATAGAAACAAGCACCGTAAGCAAATTCTCTATCCAGGTCATTCATGATCACCGAAATTCTAGTATTCAAATATGTATAAAGAGTAATTTTATAACTTTTTAATGCATTTTTGATGGCAGTAATCGTAAACTTTAAGAAATAGTTATTCAATATATTTAAATTGATTGAAACATTATTGATGTCTAGTCTTAGAAAAATGTGAATGTACAAACGTTGTGCATGCATGAAAGTAAGAAAATGAAGAGATCTAGTTTACGATTATTGCCATATTAGCTGGTAAAAGTCTTTTTATCCTTTCCACCGACACTTCAATGAATGTTAATATGATTATTTTTTTGCTAAAAATGTAAATATTATAACAAAAATGAATATAAATATATTACGTATACGCAAACCTTCAAAACTAAAACAAGATTACAATAGAACAATTAAATTTGATTTATATATGGCTTATCAAATCCAAAGCAACCTAAAGTGTTTCCAATGCTCTTGTGTCTCATCCCAAAGCTGGCTCATCCATTTACTTGAACTCCCCAAAGCTATTTGAGAGGTTTCTCATCCCAAAGCTGGCTCTCCCTTTCAGAGCCGGTCTGACCTAAAGCAAGTAAAGCCCTTGCTTTAGGCATCAAAAAATATATGTATTAGTAAAGGGCACCAATTTTTGTAAACGTATCTTAGCCTAGTGGTTAATTCTGTTCTGTAAGCCTGTGAGGTCACAAGTTTGAATCTCAAATACTTGCTATCAAGCCAACAACCACATACTTTCCCTCTGCAAATTTCTGGTACTTCGTGGAACCTGCTAGACTCAATCCCCACTCGAAGAAGGCCAACATAATCATTCGTAGTAATCCCAACCGTGTAAGTGGCGAAAGTTTGGCAGAACTGAGAGAATTGTCAACGGTCTGGTTTTCCTGGGTCTACACCACACATATGACTACCTGAATCATAATAACCTGAAAACTGGTTGGCGGATTCTTGAGTACGAGAGGCCAGCTGCTGGAAATAATTTTCAAGTGACAGTGTTGGTCCATCTCTTCTACAATAGAAACTTGGACCAGACCTTACCTGCTGAGGTACAGTCTCACTCATCCGGAATGAATGCATATTTTTGTTATATATTTCTAACTTTTCCCTCTGAATTGCAGGATGTGGATCCGAATGATGGTGATGTGCTTGGGGAAAATGAACAGGCAAGACCCTTTTTCTCATTCACTTTTTTTTTTTTGGTGGTGGTTTCACCCTAAAATCCCCTTTTGAATTGCAGATGAATCTACAAGAGGAGGAGGAGGAGGACGTCCAGGACAATAATGTCAACCAGCATGATCTGAATGCACAAGATGGTATTGATGCAAATCAAGATAACTTGCAACAGGTAAATGATGTAATAACTGGGAAAACCCTTTTCTCATTCAGTTTGTTTTTTTGGGCGCAATGGATGCATATATATATTTACCATTTGAATTCCATGTGAATCTGTAACAAGACAATATCATAATCGAGGGTGGCATATTCGACGATTTGGATGACATCGCTGAGGTAAGAAAGGCTCTTATTTACACTCACTCAGATTATTATCTGTATTGTTCTAACTCTTGACTTGCACGTAAATGTTGATGATGCTGATGATCAATTCTACATCGACAATCTTGTCAACATTCTCTGAGAGTTCTACATTGATAATATTTTCAACTCTTTGTGAGAGACAGTGACAATGAGACGACCTTTATTATCTTTACTCTTACGTATTTTGGCCTTTTTTTATTTTCAGACAGATTTATTTGTAGGGTTTTAAGGAACAGAAAACTAATCGTCTCTTACAATTCAGTACAAGTTGATTGTTTTGTACTGTCTTTGGTAGGTTTTATGATAGTCTCTGCAATTAAAAAGCAAACACAACCAAATGACTAAATGCGACTAGTAGTAGTAGGCTATAATATTATGTCATCAGGGAAAACAAGTAAACTTTGGTAATCAATAACACAAGTCTTTTAGTTTCTTGCCAAAATCGTGGATTGCATAAAATCTTTTCCAGTTCCAACAAACTGAAGGAACAAATCTCAGGGGTCAAGACTAGCATGTTAAAGTGGATCTTTTTCATAAGCAAAAAGGAATCCAATCAGTTCCAACTTTTTGAAGAAATATTTAAAAACGTTGCAAAGACATGATCCAACTTTTAAACGGATCTAAAGCAAGTTAGAACAACCACACATCAAGCTTAAAAAATATATAAGTTTTCAATCCTCACAAATTGTGACATATGCACATTGAGTCATGTATCCATCAGGGAAGAAACATAATTCCAGAAACAAAAATACAAAAGTTTTCCATCCTCACAATTGTGACATATATGATTAATACGATTTGTAATTATATATAAATTGATTCATCAACAAATCATCTCAATCTATAATCATATATATAAACTTGAGAAATTAAGGGATCATTGTGACAGGAAGCTTTGTCACTAATATCCTCATACGATTTTTAATATTTACTAGGGGAAAATCCGGGCTACGGCCGAAAAATATATTTGACAATTAACATTTTTAAAATTAGTTAATTCAGGTTTAAATTCATGTTTAGTTTTTAGTATATAGATTCTAAAAAAACATCATATGATATTATATATAACATTTTAGTTAAAATAACCTATATGATGCTGTTAATGTTTAGTTATATTTATCTATGGTTATTTCATTCTAATTTATATGTACAATTTTTTTTCAATTTCTTAGTGTTGTTATTCTATATAGTACTTTTCTCATCTATATCCTCATAATTTATTTGTAGTGGTCTCTAATTGTTTTTTTGTTAACCATCTCTATTAGTTTAATTCTTTTTATACTTTATTTTCCCTTTTTATAAAGTATTCCTTTCAAAATTTTGTAGTCCTCTCTAAGTCTCCATGACTTTGTTTCATTATTTTTCTTCTACTTTGACGTTTTCTAAAAAACATTTTGTGCTTAAACATATCTAATGCCACATATGATATCATCTTAGGATTTATAAAACTTAAAGTTATAGTACGAAAACGAAAAATATTCAACGTACCTATGCATGGCGCAGATTTTAATTTCTAAACATTAGTTTCTAAAATATTAATCTAATTAAACGTTAATAACAATAATACTTGTTTTCTAATATTTTTTTTAAAAACACTTGTTTTCCATGTGATCATTAATAGGTAAAGCTTTATCTTAACAAAATCACTTTTTTTGGTTATTTGGAATTTAAATTATTTTGAAAAAAAACTTACTAATTCACCCCATTAATAGTGTTTGTGTTGTCGTGGAATTTATTTGTCTCAGTACTGTAATAAGTGACAATATTAGGGATCAAAGTGAAGAAAAAAAAATGATGCAAAACTAAAAAATTGATGCGTTGACGTGGCTTAGTTTTATGTAGCCTTTAATTTTGATGATGTGGCATCTTAAGAGTGTTTTTTGGAAAAACTGATATGGATGCCTTGAGAAGTCTCAATTAGCTTCTTTTATTAGTAATAGATGCCTGTAATTTTTAATTAGGATATATATTCGTTAATTTATATATATATATATATATGTTTATTGCAAGCCGAATTTTAAAGTGTCAATCCGAGAGACTCCACAATCAGACTCCAACACTGTGTTGGCAACACTACATCAACACCACGACGAGAACTAAGCTAAGCTTTACATAATCGTATAATATTCTCTCCAAAGCAAACTACTCTCCTCTCTTCATGTTTTGATCGTTATTCTCCTTAACATTGTTGTACATAAAAAAAGGTTCTCCTCATTTGAATTAATACAATATCTCTTTTAGAAAAAATGGAAAATTAATAGATATGTATAGATCGGAAAATATATATCCAACATAGTATTTATTCAATATATTACTACACCAGTGATATTTATTACAGTTTCATACCATGATATTACCATCAATTATAGATGATCAACGGTGATATATAGAGATAGAAAATACATTATAGTAGATAATTTATTACATTACAGTTTTAGACTTGATGCCGTCAACGTATACGATTACGGCGGCGTTGGCTTTCGGAACGGAAAGGGAGGAAACTTGAAACCTCGGAGAGGCGGTAGAAATGTTGGAGGTGAAGGTAACGGTGGTCGTGGGATATTCCCACCGAACGGTGCAGGGGCAAACGGTAACGGTGGGAAAAACGGTCGAAAAAACGGTGACGGCCGAGGAACAATGTATTTCTCGCTAGTAGTGGTGACTCCAAGTACCGCCGGATTCTTTCCATTCAGATGGCGTGATGCGGTGGTTTCCGGTATCAGACGAAAGATCAAGATTAGGGTTAGTGCTAAAGTGGTGAAGTTAGAGTAGGTTGAAGTAGCCATACTTCATGTGTTGCATGATCAAGAGGTAAGTGTGTTTATTTATAGGACCATATGCCATAATGCAAACGAATATATCTAATATTAAAAAGAATCAAATTATTCAATGTAGATATATTTGTATAAACACGTATTCGTTTTACGTACCATCATTCTCCATTGAAATGTTTATTCATTAGACTAACATATGAATATAGATAGTCCTTTTAAAGTTTTACTAATTTCGTGTTGTCTTTCGGAATATATAACATGACGAGTTCACCTTATTTAGGAAATGTAATAAATTTTATTTTATTATAATCTCAAAATGTTTTTTTTTTCTTATGGGATGGTGCCAACTGCCAAGACTTGGCATCTATATACCCCAATGTTATTCAGCTGGCAAGAGTGGAATACAACTTAATGTTATATATCAAACTAATATTTGATCAAACGTTCTTCTGTGGAGAGTTTTATACTACTTCTATGTATAAATAATAATAATTAAAAGATAAAATATAGTATGATTTTTCATGCTTTTAAATAGGAACCATTTGACAATTGTTTTGTTGTTTTACGTAACATCAAATGCAGAAAAAATTAGGATAACTACAACGCACGTGGGTGCATGTTGGCTGTTGCATTTCACAACATAAATGATATATAAACAAAATTCATAATTAGTGAAACCTAATAAGTAATCCGAAAAAATAATATTTATTATTTGCTCCGGTTTTTACGAATACTACATTTTTTTATTTACTTTGCTCCAAAATCTTACGAATATTCGAATTTTTCGAATCAAATCAAATCGTATATCGAATCGAAGCGGATTTAACAAATATTTTGCCCAGGCTACTATTCTTATACTTTTGAAATTTGTATACGTACTTTTAAAAATTTAGAAAAAAAAACAAAAACAGAGCAACCCTAACGATCCCCATAGGTCAGCAAATGCAAATCATCATGATGTTAAAAAGCAAACGTTTAAATATTGATTGAAAAAAAACCCCACAATTTGTCAAGCTCTTACATTAAACCCTTCAAGTAATACATAGAACACACATTAAAAAGAGGCAATACTTTCAATGTGTTCGGGCGAGAGAGAGACGTAACAATCGTTTGCGAATCCATAACGGCTCCCAAATTCTTCATTATCTGCAATTCCTAGGAGCTTAACTCTTCTCATGTCTTTTCTTTCTACATTGTAGTAGAAAATGTAAAAGGGTTGAACATCGGGTAACAGAGCTTTTGGGGCAAAAATGATTTCACCAGCCTTGTTGGTGCCCGGGGAAGTCATAGTTGTACCCAACCCCAAAGAGAAAGGAAGCTCAAATGTTTGCTTGGACCAATCATGTGTCTTCACATCCTCTAGTATCCATAAATCAAAACTTTGGAAATCAGCATAAGGGTATCTTACAATGAAAGCTAGCTTCCCTTTGTATTCTATCAAAATTGATTCACCCTCCCAGGAAATAGCATCCATAGGCGCTTTGATAAAACTTAGCCTCTCATATCTAACATCAAAACACACAATCACCGGATCCGTTCTATGTCCTGGGTACCAAGCACCAGAATACACAAAACCACTGATGCATATTTCTTTAGTTACAATGTAATAAGGTAGGGAGGTAAACTTATTGCGTGTCCATGAAGATTCTCCTCCTCCAAGTGTTACCACCTCATGCATTAGAAAATCATGATTCCTGTAAGGAGTAGACACCATGGTCAATGCTTTAATTTTATCATCAATAGGATCATATCCCAAGGATGTGCGTACAGGGAAGGTAGTGACTTTCCCTGTGCTAGGGTTACATACAGTAACTGGACCAGTACTAGTACACCCGATAAGTCCATGGACGGAAGCACAGTAGGAGCCGCTAGAGAAGCTATCGGAAGGTATCATCATATCGAGATTGGTTGCCAAAGAAGAAGATTTGTAACACCCGTCCCGCCTTATAGGCCAAGACAATGTGTTAATCATCTGGTCCCGCTAAAACGCTTATTTCTTTAAACATTCAAAACGTGTTCCACGTCTCATAAACCTGATTAACCTGAGAGAAAAGATAAAAGGGTGAACACAATGGCGAAATTCTAATCACACTCAACAATCAGTGCCGGATCTACGTTGGTTTGGCTGCTACCATCGCTCTCATCGTCCTCGTTATGATCTTGCTCTTTGCGTTTCATGGCGTCTCCCAACCAAACCCTACAGAATCGACTCGGCGATAGAGTTAAGTAATTAATTTTGTACAATGACCTAGATGGCTAGATCTTATATACTCGACAAAGAAGTTTCCTTTTTCAACCACAGAATCACTAATAAATAGAGGTAGATACGTATTTAGTAAACCTAAATCGGTTGTTTTTGTCATTGGACAAGTTCATCAGATTTATTTATTTTTGTGAAGTTTAGAACTGGTATTACTTTTTATAAAATAAAAGAATAGTCCACAATTATAACCACAATCCAAATAACTCCATGATCAATAAAAAAAGTCATTGGAGAATTTTCAGTCTCCCATAGATGGTTTCTTACTTCCGTGAGATACAAGTAATTGGGCTTTGATGGCTTCATGGAAATCCTCGAAATGTTCTTTATAAAGAACCATGGTGGTACCTAGAATCTCTATATTCTGCAGCAATATTTAGCATATGAGAGAAACTATTCATTGCCATGGAAAAAGATATGTCACCAAAGGATCCGTTATAATAACAATGAAGTAGTTAAGTTACAAGGTTATATTAAAAGAAGCTCATTAGGACACTCAGTTGTGTCTATACGTTGGGGAAGAATGTTTTGGTTGCGAATACGATTATACAAATGAAAATTTCCAATCAATTTAACAGTTAAAAGAAAAAAACAGAGCAAAAAAAAGAAAATAACATTCATAAATTTTGAGAAAGGATTCTACATCCCATCTTAAGAATGAATCACTGGTTTTCTTTAAAAATGATATGGTTTTAGACAACACATCATTTCTTTTGTTCAAGATCTAGCAAATCCCATAATATCAAACCAATGTGTTTGGTACCTAAAAATCAACACATATATGTTGAGTATTTTTAAAAAAAGAAGCAAACATGACATATCCTTGAATAAAGAAACATTACAAAAACCTTATAGTTTCAACATGTTCCGGTGAGATAAAGACTTTACATGAACCAACATTCTTTCCAATTCCATAGCACCGCCTAAAATTTTCATCATCTGCAATTCCTTCAAGCCTAACTCTTCTAATGTTCTTTGTTTCTACATGGTAGTAGAAAATGTAGAAGGGTCGAAGATGATAGCGTGACAAGAATGTCGGTGCTAGAATGATCTCACCAAACTTGTTAATACCTGGAAAAGACATGTTACCGTCCTCAATAGAATCCCACACACAGAGAGGAATATCACATGTTTGCTTAGACCATTCCTGCTTCTCGATATCTTCTAACACCCACAAATCAAAACTATCGAAACGAGCATAAGGGTATCTTACAATGGAAGCTAACTTCCCTTTGTATTCCATCAAACTCGAATCAGCCCACCATTGTACGACATCCTTAGGTGCTTTGATAAAAGTTATCTTCTCGGATCTAACATGAAAACAAACGATCACTGCATTCATACCTGGTCTTGGAGTCCAAGCACCATAATACACAACCCCGTTGATGCATACTCTCATAGTTACAGGGGAATAAGGTGGGATGTTGTTGTTACCTTGGATTTGCCTCCATGAGTACTTTTTTTTATCACCTTTTAGAGTTAACACCAAGTGCTCTACACTATCATTATTAGGTAAGCGAGAAGAAATAAGAGCCAAAGCTTTGAATTGATCATCCACCGGATCATACCCTAGACATCTGCCTCTCATTTTTGGAGCGTGACGTGGGGGTAAGATTGGTAAGACAATGACTTGTCTAGTGCTAGGGTTACATATCATGAGCCCTGTGTCAAGTGAACAGGCGATAAAACCATTGACGGAAACACACCGTGACGCAGGGTTATTACAAACGGTTAAAGAAGGTATAGTCATATCGAGATTGTTTATCACAGAAGAAGAAGATTCATGTCCCTCTTGTGAAGACGAGAAGATGAACAAACGCTTGTCCTCATCCTTGGCGAATAAACCGTTGGTGAAAGCGACTATAGACCGTGGTCGTGTTGAGGAAATGGAGTAGAAGGAATCGATGAAGCCTTGGCTTTGGATAATGGACGACCACAACTTGGAAACGCATTTGAACCTCAAAAGAGACTTGGCTGGTAATCTTGTGAGAATCTCCACCGTTAGATCAAGAGGGATATGATCTATCTCCTGAAGTTTCATGATGACGGCTGACCTAGATTCTTCTACTTGTTTTGTTTTGTTTTATCATTGTAAAAGAAGAGATAAGAGGGAATCATAAAGACGAAACATAATAACTCCACTTGGTCTGTTTCACCAGATATCGTAGCTTAAAAGGCTTTACTTGGTCGAAGCCCAAATCGAGTGGGAAGCCCATAAAGCCCATAAACTAATTACTTGATTTCCATGTTTTCAAATGTTCTAGAGTCTTGAAGTTAGGTTTGATGAATTGGGTTTTATTTTTGTTTCTTTTCTTGATGGAATTCGGTTACATCTCTTCAGTTTTGAAAGAATCTAGTATTCACAGAGAAGAAGTTATTATGATTTTACTTTCACATTGTCATCAGATAGTCTCTAGAAACTCAAAACCTATGATTTGAAAAGGTACCTTTTGCTTTCATTTCACAGTGTCTGTCTGTCTTTATTTGTTTCCATTTCCAGGGATTTCGTTTGCTATTGTGGCAAGTAATAGCTAATGGTGCCAATATGAGTGAAAGTGGATTTAAGGTGGATCCTTCTTCTGTCAATGCTTTGAAAGACCCTAAGAAGCGTCTAACAAGTGAGCATTTCTTTGATCTGCTTGGATTTTGTATTCCCTTAAGTTAGAAATGATTTTTGTAACACATGCTTATATGATAATAGTGAATTCTGTGTCTTATCTGTTTATCTGAGTTTAGTTTAGGTTGTGGTTTGAGATCTTGTTAGATGAAATTGGTCATAATCTCCTGAGTAAACAATCAGATTGTAACTTTTGTTTTCTTTAGATTTATGTTCAATATTTGGAACTTATTGAGCTGATTTAATTCATATATCGTATAACTTTACCAGATTCTATGGTTGCTAAAAGCGCAAGGGAAATAAGACGAAAAATTATAGCGGATAAAAAAACAAAACGATGTCAAAATTCTGAATCTAATCTAGTCTTCCCCATTAAAGGTAAGAAACTTTGAGTTCTACTTTAACGCCTGAATGTGAAATGAATTATCATTATGGAGTGTGTATGTGTGTGTAGCATCTATATCCGAGAAGTTTCAAATTGTTTTAAAGCTCTAATCATAAGTGAAAATATCCTTAGAAATCATGGCCGCTCTATACTTTAATGTCAGCCATATAAATCATGAAAAATCTATACTCCCTAAATTCTCTAATTTGTATGTCATCTACCTTTTGCTAGAATCTATCGGTACCTTTTGCTAGATTTTGTGACAACATAAAACCTTACTAGGCATTGTTACTTTAATCTTCTGTATCGTTATAATTGGTAATCTTGTTTAGTATGAAAAGTGATTTGTGCCTCTATTTCGTTTTACAGGTAGTCATATAGCAAGGGAAAAAAGGCGACAAATTATAGCGGCAAAAAAAGCAATACGATCACGATGTTCTACCTCTAATGCAGTCTTCTCCAACAACAGTAAGAAACTTTTCCTTATACTCTGACATCCGAATTTGAAATGAAATCACTCTATACTTTTCTGAAATTTTTTTAGTATAAATCTTTTCTACCATTTAATGTTACCTATATAATTCATAGCAACCTCGCTCCTTAGATTCTTTAGAATGTTATTTAGCAAAGTATTATGTATTCTTATATAACCCTTTTCTTACAGTTGAGTAGTTTATGATACGACATGAATCTTCTATAGTCTATACTATTACTAGTTTCGTGATTAATCTGACTCTTATTAACTCACTTATCGTTTTCAAAAATAAATAGTTCAAAGCAGCCAACACACTAAAACCAAAGTACACAAAAATTCAAGGTCAATTGGTGGAAAACTACAATATGGTAAGATCACAGTGTTGAAAATCTAAGGGAAGCAGATTGCTCACTGATATCTTAGCCGTGGGTTTCCCACGCAAGTACTTATGGTGCTAATTTTTTTATAGATATAAGTGAAGTACCGGAGCAGAAACCACAAGCGGAAAATCGTCCTACGAATGCCAAAAAGAAATGAACTGGGAATACATTTATTAGGTTCTAGTCATTCGATATGGCTTTTACTTTGAAGCTATAGTGGAAACCTCAATCACTTAAGCTAATTTCAGGAGAAAGGTACTTTATTTTTTCTGTTATATGATTGGAAAAAGTTAGAAATAATGTGACAATTGTTCTTGTTCTTGGAACCAGTCCTCTCATCACACGTTAAGGCAATTTTGAACAAGAGCTTTGTGATTCTGTTTTCAATAGATTTTGAGGTGTAGGGAAAAATGATTTTAGTTGTTCCTTTCTTTTTCTCTTACTATAGTTCTTTTTAAAATAATTTGGTTGATTTGTGGCAGCCACAACCAGCTCTGAACTTGTTGTGAAAACAGAGTGGATTTTCTTCGTGTTCCTTTTTGTGATTTTCATATATAAAGTGTGATGCCTTAGCTTCTTCAGACTATTTATAGAATTCCATCAGATTTATAATTATTTGAAGATCTTAAGATCTGGAAGTTGGTTATATGATGTAAAATCATTCTTTCCATTTTCATAATGTTGTAGATGTTGATCAACAAAGCAGAAGGAGAGCTGGAGCCATCAATGATAGATACTTAGAAAGGGAATCTTCCAACCTCTCTGTTCTTTGTCTTAACATACATTGCTCCGGGATGATAAATAATCGCCACGGACTGGACCTTTGAAGAACAACCAATTCTCGATAATGGCCTTGCTAGGTTAGTGTATTTGTTCTATCAAAATTCTCTTTTTAGTTTCACAGTTAATTGGATCATTCTCTCAATTGGGGTTGGTTCCGATTTGTTGATTTCTGGAGCTTTGTGTGACCTTAAGTAGTTCTTATCGGCTTTAAAGTTTTGATGTTCTTGTTTTGGCATTGGACTCAAGAATTACATTCCTTTTTGGTGTGAAGAATTCAAAAATAATCATTATTGTATTTTTGCAGGTCGCGATTGCAGCCACCGATTTTGGATCAGAAGTTTTGCCATTGGCAGTAAAAAATTACAAAGCACAAGTAAGTAAGCTCAAGTCATCTCTTGATAAGAGTTTTGTGTTTTAAATCTCAAGGTTTCTTAAAAGATCAGATCTGTCTCTATTTCAACCTTCTTCAAGTTATAAATCTAGAAGCAAAGAACTATTTAAAGTTGTAAAAGATAACTCCTGAAATGTGAATCTATATATATATATATATATATATTCATTTTGTGCCCATTGTTGGAGCACCTAACTAGCTTTTTCTCTACTCCAAAAAGTCACCCTTGAGAGATAAGTATTCTGAAAGCTCATCGATGACACTTCTAACTATAGCTTTGCGTTCAACAGGCTCACCAATCTGATCATTGGCCAAGTCCTTATATGTTATGTAAACAAATGCACTTTTGGCGTTGAGTCTCTCATTTGGCGCCTTGGCGGTTCCACATCTTAATTAGTTTCTATTGCCACTTTCACGATCTTTAGTAGTGGTATGTGTACACTATATAAAGCCAAGAAAAAAAAGACATATGAATGATCTTTTCTTTTTAACCAGTTTTATCAATATGATTTTCTCCTAACGTAACATATGATTTATTTTTATGAAAATATAAACTATCAAACATAAGTAATTTATCAATAAAGCAAAAAAAAAAAAAAAACAAGCTAGAAGAAGAAGAGTCTGAATTTTAGTTGACTTTACATCTTTTATAAAATTTTGAATTGTTTATGTCCTAACTTTTTGAAACAAATACTTACTGCAAATTAGTTTCAGTTTGGTTCTTAAGCAACTTTTTATATATAATAAAATTAGAAGAAATTCAAGTTTAATTGGTTATTCTTTTCCCCATTCGGAAAACCATATAGTGTGTACGAAAAGGTTCTTATATATTCCTTGCCGTTGACCTAATAATTTCGATTTATCTATATTGATATTGGTCAAAACACTCCTCGTTGACATGACGTTTGACTTTGAATAAAAATTATTAGCATATGCTTTGGTGTAAAGTAGGAACACAATGCAAATAAAACCAAAGATTTTACAATCGTCAAGCAATTAATTCAAACCTATAAATTTGAATCTTCACTAACCCTAAAATTACGAAAAATACTAAACATCAACACCCACACACTATACACAATGGCATCACTTTCACTTGTGCTTAGATACATCGTCGTTTTAACTTTCTTCATACTCCAAAACCCCAAGGAAACATTTTCTTCGCGACTAGTGAGATCCCCAGCTAAAGTAGCTCAGATTGGAGCCGATGATTATCCATCTTCCGGTCGTAATACACCGGTCCGCGACCTTGGATTCCCTGACTTCCCTTCTTTCCAAGAAGTAGTGGCGCCACCACCGCCTCCGCCTGATCTTCCTCTCCTACCGCCGCCTCTGCCTGATCTGCCTCTCCTTCCACCACCGGCATTTTCTGATCCTGAGAAGCCTAGGTTACCGGTTCCGGTTTGGCCTTCACTCCCCGATTTCCCGCCCTTTCCATTCGTAGATCAGGCTGCTCCTTCCCAACGCTTCGCTCCAAGATTTGATGAGTCCAATAATTGGATGCCTTCTACCCCAAGCATCCCTCAAGTGTTTCCGTAAAGGCGTAAACCACTGACACTCATGAAGCCTCATTTCGCAAAAAGCTTACTATTTGACTTTCAAAGTTTTTGTATCAATTAATAAGTTTAAAACTTACGTGTGATTCAAGCAAGTAATAAATAAACTAAATTACAAATTTAAAGTTAGAATATATTTGACTCTATATTTAACGTAAAATATACCATTACATATGATTAAGTAGTAAAAATATCATTTATTGAGATGGAAACAAAAAATCCCAAAGTTTCTCACCATGCTCCTAGATCCCAAATTTTCTAGATACCTATCACCTCTGGAAACTCTTTTAAATAATTTTATAAACGAAATATATAGATATTACTATAAATTATGTAGATAATTTGAATATAAAATTTTGGATGTTGTGGTAGAATCATACATATAAAAGTAGGGTTTCACTCTTCCATTATTGGTCCACTTGGCATTTTTAAAATTATAATATTTATTTTTCAATTAAACTTAAAATATAACACATTTAATCATATACATTAATTCATACTTTAAATCTACACTTTACTACTCAATTGTAACTGAAATTATATAATTGTGAATTGACTCTTTTTTTCTCTATTCATTGTCATTTGAACACACTATAATTATAATTGTAACTCCTATAACTTATTTTCCTATAAATAACCATTCTGACATCCTCCTCCACCATGTCTCATATCCTAAATATTCTCTTTGTTTTGTTTATGTTCTTGCATGAGTTTTTTTTTTGGTAGGAATGTTCTTGCATGAGTTGAAAACTCAATTAAAATATCATTGTAAGAGTTTGATTATATTTTTTGTTTAATATATATATTACATTCTTTTCAATTTTATTTTTTCTTTGTTTTTATGTATTTCTTCCTTCTTTCTTTGTTTTTTTTAATATTTTTTTATTTAAATTACATATGTATATTATAATTTTGATGGCTATAATAAAATTACCTTATTGATGCAGATCCAAAAATATTAATTTCGACCATCTCGCAATAAGAGAATCAAGCTAAAGAAACTATCTTCATTTTTTTTTACTTTGAATGTTTGATTATTTCTTACATATTCATGTATATGTATTTTATTTTTAAAAGTATGCATTGTTTTAACGAAATAATGTTTTGTAATACAATTATCAAAATAATTTTCCTTATCTCTCTCTTACCTCTAAATAATGTTTTAGTATACTCATCATTATATTTAGTTTTATTGATTCAACATATAATAATATAAATATCATTAAAAATTTTATTTAATTCAAATTTTGTAGTGTAAGTATTTTTCGATATATAGAAAAAAAATTTGATATTCCATTTCCAATTAGCTTGTACTATAAAGATGAATTCATTAGAATTAAACCTATAAATATCACTTAAATTAAGGGGAATATAAAAAGAGATTAAACAATGAAACTAATCTTTGGGATTTTTTGAAAGCTTTTATTTGCACTTCATATGATTTTATAGAAAATGTATTTAATTTGTTATTTACAAAATAATTTGTAAAATACTTTAGGTTATGATTTAGTTTTTATCAGCAACTTAGACTAAATATTTGAATATCATTGTACATTTTCATTTTTATCACTAATAATGTTTATTTTACCTTGAATGCTCAAAAATACTAAATAAAATTATTATCATAGTTGAACAGAACAAAAAAATCATGAGATTTCTATGTATGATTATATTAACTAAGTTATATATTTTTATATTGTATGATTTGAATAAATATAAGTGTAGAAAATGTCATTGACATTTAGAAAAATTATTTGTTCTATATTTTTAAATTATTATTAAATAAATTAAATTTACCTAATAAAAATTGATTTTATACCAACCCGCGAATATGCGCCGGAAATTACCTAATCATAAATATAAAGTAGGGTTTCACTCTCTCTTTATTGGGCCGCTTGGCATCCACATCATTGCCATGTAATAATATTGAAATTTTAAGTAATAATTTACAATAAATATATTTTATGCATTTCCTCACATTTTTGTAACCTCCATACTAATAATTATATTTATGTTATTAATGAAATAAATGATTTATATTTATTTATATTTACAATTTTTGATGTAACTTCCATATTAATTAATGTTAATAGTAATGATTACAATAAAACTAATGGAAAATGTTGAAAATATATTAATTTGAAAATTAAAAAGAATATAAAAGATTACACAATTTTGTAACATTTGGTCCTTAAAATCTAACTTGTAAATTGAAACAATTCTTCAAATACATTTAATACAAAATGAATTCTTCGCAATGAATTCTTTGGAATGTAACATAAAAATTTATGATATAAATACAATTATATTTACTCATAAATGACATTCAAACATGATTGTGAAAGTTTTATCAAAAACAAAAGATGATTGTGGAAGTTAAATAGTTATCTAACGTAAATATGCTTTTATTACAAAAAATTCCCTATAAATATTAAGACACACATCTCACAAACCATCATATTCCAAGTTTTCTATTACTAGTAAACTAGATGAATGTAGTCACGCTACGCGTGACTTGTTACAATTTTAATGTAAACATGAATTTAAAATTTGAAATGAAAACTAAAAGAAAATTATGCTTTTAATATTATCACACATATTCTTCTATGATTATAAATTTACAATGCATAATTTTTTAACACCACTTATTTTTTAGTATTGTAAGAATTAATCAATTAAGTGGTACGACTCGAAATATTTTATAAATTATTTGTATATTGTAATTAAAAAAACATATATCAAGAATAGTGCAGTTTCTAGATATATCTAACACCTACTTACATTTTTTTATTAAGTCTAAGTTCTAATATCTTCAATTTTAAGAAAATTCAACTTATTTATATACAATCATAATTTTTGTGTGCTTGATGCAAAGGAAAAACAGTTTTTCTTCTAACATGAATAGCATACATTTTTCATTAAAGATATTTTTTCTCACATCTTTTTACCAACATGATATTTAAACATTTGCTATTGATTATCTAACTGTTTTTATTAAATTAATTTTGTTGGAAAAAAATAATTTTGACCACAAACCTTGGAAAAATACTACAATGATATTCATATCACTACATGTTAGAACATATATTTGAGAAATGCATTAAAAATTTTAATTTCAAAATGCTAAAACATCGAATAATGTTTTTTGTTTGAATAAATAGATAAAGAGAATAATCATACATCAATAGTAAAAAACGAAGATATATCATTTCAATTTGATTGACTTGTGTGAATATTAGAATAGTTAGCTTTTGAACTTCCATAGATAAATCGGGAAACAGATAAATATTATAGCAAGAATTTTGAAAACTAAAAATGAAAGAAATATATTCTTGTAATGCGGTGAAAACAAAATAAAATGGAATACAATATAAACTACATATATACCATATAATCTCTAAAAATAAAATAAACGAAATACAAATTGAATACAATGTAAACTACATATCATATAATCTTTAAAAATAAATATTACAATCAAACATTCACTATCACCATGACACAATTGTTTTTAACTCATGCAAGAACATAAAATAAAGTAAATTTACAGATTTGAAAATATGGTGGAGAATGATAAGAGAATTGATATTTATAGATGAGAAGTGGTGAAACTCTTATAATTATTGAGTATGAGTTACAAATTATTATTTATTGGTAGAAGTTACTATTGAGTTTAAATATAGAGTTTAAATTATAGTCAATATCATTTTCAAATAGTTAATGCATTTTAGTGGAGGAGTTACAAATGAATTTAAATGTGGAGTTACACATGAGTTTTAAAGGGAGTTAATTAGAGATTAATATATTAAAGGTAAATTTAAGAAAATATAAAAAAAAATGCCAAGTGGACCAATCATGGGAGAGTGAAACCCTACTTTTATATGTATGATTGTATAACATTTTTTCTTCTAATTCAACAAATGGTGTTTCAATATATATATTTTTCTCACTTTTGTAAGAGATTGTGAAGAGGAGGTGACATGAAACCAAGAAATCCTACGCACGGTCAATCGTTTGTGCTACTTTAGATGTCTTTCCAAAAGAAGAGAGTAGAGAAGATGCATTATTGTAGGTTTTCTTTGCCGAAAACATTCATTATATTCAATCTATATTAACCTAAATTTGGGTTGACTCAAATAAATTTGATATTCTTGCAGAGAGATTAAGAAGAAAATCAAGAAGACTAAAGACGAGAAGAAGGATAAGAAAATGGAGTATGCTTCGAAACAACATAAGTCTCAAGTGAAAGGCAATATTCCAAGAGTGTTGATGGTGGAGGTAGACGTTGAATTGTATAGAATAGTCATTTATTTTTTGGTAGTTGAAATTTAGTAATGCTTTCGAAAAAGGCAAGTAAAACATATATTGAACCAAGTTGTAATCTCGAAAATATTAAGTGAAAGTCTTAAGTCTATATATTGATTTGCTAACTATCTCATTCATCTGTTATTTTTATGTATGCGTTATTATTGTTGTTTTGTTAACAAAATCTATTTTATTTATTTGTTTTACATAAAGAAAAAATATATACAATAACCCACGCGTCGCGTGGACAAATATCTAGTAATACTTCAACCCCTTCATTTGTAACGCATTAGAACTAAAGAGAAAAATCAAAGGGTATTTTCTTGTATTGCCCTTGGGCTTTTACTTGTCTTTGTTGAATTTTGTTACACTATTTTTAGATAGCTTTAGTTTGGTGATGATTTTTGTTTTCTCCAATAAAACCTAAACTCAAACCAAAAAGGAATAATAAGTAAGAAAATTAAATTTAAAACAAGGGTCAAAAGTTATGGTTTGGTGATACCATTAATGTGATTCGGGATGGACTCATATCAAACAATATCTTTTGTTTAGTGACATAAACCTTAAAAAAAAATCCAACTTAACAATAACTTGTGCATCACAAGTACATTTTGAGTCCAAGACAATGATGGCCAAATTTGCAACAAGAGAATATATGATTTTTGGTGCTAAGAAAGTTTTCAGTAGAAAAATTTCAGAAGTAAATCGTTTTCAGACTCCTACATCATCCATGGGAAAACAAGAGGTTTTGGGAAGTTTTACCATCAACAACTTTAGTGGGAGGCACATGCCTGTCTACAAATTTGTTCTCACCAAGAATTTCAGCCTCCAGCTGATTCTCCAAAGCACCATTGCCGCCAGTGTTGTGATCGCATTTACCTTCATCAAACACAAGGTAAGACTTCTTATACTCGATTTGATGCCATCCCGTATTCAGATTTTCCCTTGTTAATAGCACAAATTTTTGTTTATACTTGACAAAGTCATTGCCTCTACGAATCGGATAGACAATATGGACCCTTCCATGTCCCAGTGGGTTAGTTTTGGAATCGATCTCCTTTGAGGAACTAGTTGTTTTCCTCTCTTGAGAGATTCTCTTGAGACAGACACCCAATATTCGTTTTCTCTGAAAAAACATATATCTCTCACAGTCCCAAGGTTCTGAATCACCGGAGATAATAGAGAGAAGTGAAGCATCCACAATGATGCTGCCTGTGTTGAATTCATTTAAGCTTACTTTCAACACAGCAGTGTAAATCACTACCGCATACTCTAAAAAAAGAACAAGTAAGAGATTTTAACCCTAATTTTTGCGAGTTTTGACTACTTTCCTTTTGCTAATCCCTAAACAGGGTCGATGAAATCACCATCAACAACCAAATTTTCTCCGATTTCACTACTATACTTTCCTAATTGCAAAATGAAATCACTAATCCACAGCCTAAATCTCGCCAGTTACTTCCACTTTCCCTAGTTGGCTAGTGCCAATGATTTCTTGATCTAACTTTGTACTAAGCACCTAGAGGTATACATATATTTATATTGTAAATACCAAGACTTTAATTTTATCTTTGGCATACATAATAATTTAAATTTATGAAAACAGCTATGTAAAGTTCTTTGATGAGTTTTTCCAGTTTTTAGTGGTTTGGATTGGTTTGGTTTTATTGGATTGAATAATGCTACTTGAAGTTGAAGATTATAGCCAATTTCATTATTTAGAGATAAAACAAAGAAAAACACTTCTAGAAAATAACTATGGAAACCACTACTTTTAATTATATTGATTTTCTAAAATTAATATCAATAGAATTCAGAAGAACATTTGACCTACAACTTTTTGTGAACTGTTTTTCTATTTTTGCTTATACTTTGCTTATATTTTGTTTAAATTTATTAATTTATTTCTCATTTCTTTTATTTTCAGTTTTTTTTTTTTGTATATGATGATAATTATGTATTGATAGAGTTATGAACTTGTAGTAAACAAATTATCATTTAATGCATGAAAATTTACAATTTAGCGTTTTCGAAAGTATATGATATATAGTTATATTGATTTTCTAAAATTAATATCAATAGAATTTAGAATTGAAATGTTTAAAAAGACAAAAACTTTTAAAATTATTTTGATTTTCGTTATTTTAAAACCGGTATTACATATTACATTATAATATTCTATAGTGTTTTGGTTAATTAATAATTTTTTTTCATCTACAACTCATAAATATACAATATCATATATGAATCCATATTATGATGTAAATGCAACCACCCATCCCAGCCATCTTTCGGATTCCAACTGTCATGGTTCCTTAGTTGATCGCAATATCCGTAACTCCCACACTCATTGTACTCATCGCATTACACCTCTGGCGCTAACAAGAACATATCCCAATCCTGATCCACTTGGTTCCACCTGAACTGCTACAACAGACCTTTGTAGCTCACAATCAATCTTGAAGTGATGTCGCTGCTTCTGTTGGAGTATCTAGCTGTCTTTAAAGTTTTCACTTGCATTTCTGGTACACTGATTTCATTCCACAGAGAGGCACGATAGACAGGTTTGTCTCTGTAACAGAGTAGAAGCTCAGGGAGACCTCTTGATTCTTCCAGACGAATAGAGTAAAGGTTGATTGAGGAATCATCTAACCGTCTCCATGATATGAAAGATCGGTTTACCCCTAATTGCATTCCCGGTAGTAAGGTATCCATCAGAAAGTCGAAACTTTCCAAAACGATTTTCCTCTGGATGTCTTTCAACACAAAATTATCGTCGGCCGTTAGCAGTTCGGCCACCACAGCCGTTCCTTTGTTAATTGTGGTAGACCGGACTTCTTTACCACCCTACTCCTACTCTAGAAAGAGCCCGTTTGCGGAAATTCACTGTTTGCGACTCAAAGAAAACTTGTTTGTTGAGTTGCTTGTAATGCAGAAGGTGGTTGAAAACAGAGCCACAACCAAGAAAAAAAAAAGGTAAAACAGAAATCTAGAGTAGTCCAATAGTGTTTATGATCTAGTGTTTATGTTCGAGAATAGTTCTTCATTATTGAATTCCTTGTTTCATATATTTTTTTACTAATCATTGTTCTTTGAAATACCGTATAATCCAGTATCTTTAATCCATAAGTTTAATCGTTAATTTATTTTACAATTTTATTTACAAATCTGAAAACCAATAAATAAACTTCAAACCCTAAAATTTACGTATGATTCAAGCAAGTAAAATATATAAACTAAATTACAAAATTAAAGTTGGAATATATTTGATTCTATATTTAACGTAAAATATACCATTACAGAATACAGATGATTAAGTAGTAATCATAACATTTATTGAGATGCAAATAAAAAATCCATGAGATTTAAAAAAGAAAAAGAACATTATAAAAAGGTATAGTTTTGACCTTGTTCTGGTGAGATATAGACAAGGCAATTACCATTGTTATTGTTTGCAATTCCATAACGACGCCTCAAATCTTCATCATCTCCAAATCCTTTAAGCTGAACCCTTCTAATTTCCTTTTTTTCTACATCGTAGTAGAAAATGTAGAAAGGTCCAAGGCCACGTGGTAAACACTTTGGGGTAATAATAATATCTCCCATCTTGTTGGTGCCATGAAAAGATATTGGAACGTTTCCTAGAGAATCCCGCCGCAAGGAACATGTCTTCATCGACCATTGATGTTCCTTGGCATCTTGTAATACCCATAAATCAAAGACAAGATATTTATCACACGAGTTGACAATATTAACATTAGCTAACTTTCCTTGGTAGTTTATCAAAGTTGAAGTTGAGTCCCAATATATGCCGTCCATTGAAGGTAATTTGATCAAACTTAGCCGCTCTGATCTAACATCAAAACACACTATTATTTTACTCAAATTTGGTGTTGGAGTCGAAGCGCCATAATACACAAACCCATTGATGCTTATTCCCTTTGTTAAAGGGTGATAATTCCGAGTAATGCCTTCAATATGTCTCCATGAAGGTGTTTTATCACCTCCAAGTGTTAAAACCATGTGCTCTTGATCATCTTCAAAATTTGAAACCTTCTTACGCATTGCTTTGTATTGATGATTAACTGGATCGTACCCCAAGTATTTATAAGCGGAATTCCAATTAGTACCCGTGATTTTGATTTCCGGTAAGGTTATGACTTGTCTCGTGCTAGGGTTACATATCATGAATCTACCTTTATGTGAAAGGCAGATAAAGCCGTTGACGGAACCCGTTGACCGTGTGTAAAAATAAGCGTCCACTGAAGCCATTGTCATGTCCAAATTTGCTATTAAAGAAGAAAATGAATCTTCTTCTTGTGAAGAGGTAAAGAAGAACATACGGTTTTCAGCATTCTTATCGGTCAATCGACCGTTTTTAAATGATATAAGCAGTCGTGATGATTGCGTCGAGGACATAGAGACCAACAAATTTAAGAAATCTTTGCTTCGGATGATGGAACGCCATGTCTTCGAAACATATTGGAGCTCTAGGAGAGATTTTACGGGCAACCTAGTGAGAATATCAATCATTACATCAAAAGAGATCGAATCTATGTGACTAGGACCATTTTTAGGATCGTCCTTGTTATTTTCTTGGTCATTGCCTTTCATGGTGGACAAGGGGTTGAGTTTCCACGTAGGGTTTTTAACTATACGTTCTCTATTCTATAAGGTATATATAACTCTTTATATATCAAACCAATATCAAACAATTCAGGGATAGGAAATTGATTAAGTCGGTGTTTTGTGGATAGGATCGGTTCAACAAAAAGAAAACGTCTTTTTGTATTTTTTTTGGTCTAGCAAAACAAAAGTTCACAATTTTCTTTTCCCCAAAAAAAGTTTTTAATTGAAAAATGAAATGCATTAATGATTAATTAGAAAAAGTAAAATCAAGCATCGAAGGCATGGTGCTAAGAATTTTTCCATCTTCTTATTTTTCTTTAATCTATCGTTTCATAGAGTAAATGGGAGAGAGTTGAGAGAAATTGTGAAAGGTTGTTATTTTTTCCGAAACAATTGTGAAATCTATTAATCAAAATTTGATAACGATCGTGGAGGTGTGGATAAGTTGAGAAAACTGTTTTTGTAAAATAAAAATTATGGAAATTTGTGGTGTTGACATGTCAGATTTTGTGTATGTGTCAATCAAAAGAATGTTGTGGTTCTAGCTCAAATCTAGGTGTTTGCGATACAATCTAATCTTCTCCAAGTCGAGTTCTAGGTTTCGACGGGAGCCGCCATGAAAGGCAAGGACAGGTTCTGCGGCAGCCCAAGTAAGTTAGATCCAAACCCTGTTGATCTAAAAATGGTTAGATTGCCTGTCAAGTTTAGGATGAAGAAGACCCACCAAAAGAAACTCCTTTGCCGAGTCGAATCTGAGGTTTGTTTTGGAGATCATAATGAGAAAGACACCACCCCTAGCGTCCATTGTGAGATTCCCTTATGGTCGTTTCCATAGTTTTGATTTATGGATACTAGAAGACGTTGAGAAAAATGAATGGTCAAAGCAGACATGTGTGTTTCCCTCCTCTATGTGGGATTCTGTTGGAGATATCAAAATGTCTTTTCCAGGCACCAACAAGGCTGGTGAGATTATTATGGCCCCAAAGTTGTTGTCACCCGATGTTCGACCCTTCTACATTTTCTACTATAATGTTGAAACAACAAAAATCAGAAGAGTTAGGCTCTTAGGAATCGGAGACGGTGAAGAATTCAGGCGCTCTTCTGGATTCGTAGACAATGGTGAATGCCATGTCCGCATCGCACCTCAACATGTCGAGAGTATTGCCCATTTTAAGGATCCTATCATTTAACTACATTTCAAGGATCCTAATGTAAGAGACTAAAAGAAGGGCATGGAAAACTCTGGAGTTTATTTTTTATTTTATTTCAATATTTAAGAGTTGAACAAGCTAGTTTATTGTCAATTGTTATCTTATGACTGATGAGATGTGTGTTATTAATTTTGTTCATATCTCCGGTGACTATATAGAATCAAAAGCTCAAACAAACTAAATCACCAACAATTCTTGTAACTATATCTTTGGAGTATTTACAAATGGAGAAAATTTCCATGTTATCATACTGATCAAGCAAATCATCTACGTGAACCGTCCCAAGATTTTCAACGTTAAGGCCCTCCTCGGCTTCTTTCTCAACATCCTCAATGACAAGGTTCTCTTCGGCGTATACTAGATGACAACCACCATTTCTTCAAAAGATATCGAGTTTCTCCGGTACTCGTACTCGTGCCACCTGGTCTTGAGATCATCCTTGGTGAAAAAACCAATTCTTCCTTAAACCCTATGACTTTACCCCCCTTGTAGATTGGATTACTCTTCTGACCTATCCAAGTACCCAAGAAGTTATCATTATAGCCAATCACTCTCTGCGAAATCAGATCAGTGCATGTATTCACTTGCTCTCTTTTCACAAAAAACCAATAGTGGTTTTTGCGGAAGTATGGGTATGCTTCTTTGGTCCAAGGTCCTGTCATTCCAGATAATATTCGGTTGAGATCTCCATCGACTATCAGACTAAATCCCATGTTTTTCTTCCCAATTTTCGGTTCCAGGAATTCTATGATAACCTCATCATCAGCTGGAGAGAACCTTAAACATTTGAACATATCTGAAAGTTAAAAACAAAAACTCATCAGTGATTATTCATTTACCAATATGTGTCGATAAAACCAGGTAGTGTAATTGTTATTGATACAAAAAGCAAGGTTTGGTTTGGTGATGTCAAGTGTTACATTCACTTTAGATATAGTTATTCCCTTGTATATAAGAATGACCCACCTACTGCAACACCATCTGCATAAGACTGTTGTTGAGCCCCACCAACAGGCAGAGTAGTAGAATACGGTGAGGCTTGAGAAGGAATGTTGTTATCCACAAGCGGAAACAGCGATTGAGGAACCGACATTGAAGGTGAGGATGAAGGAATAATCCCAAGAGGAGTGACACTAGTGACTTTTGAAGGTTGTACTAGAGGATCAGAGGTTGGACCAATTGGAAGACCACTAGTGTTTGGACCAGAGGTATCAGAATGCAGATTAGTCCCACCTACTACAACACAAGATAAAAGAGAGAGATTACATTTTGACACGAAAACAACTAAACCAAATATATCTTGCAATGCATTTATTGATCCTATATACCATCTGCAGAAGACTATTGTTGATCCCCACCAACAAGCAGATAATCAGAAAGTGATGAATCTTGAGCAGGATTCACAACAGAGAACGGATGTTGAGGAGCTGACATTGCAGGTGATGTTGAATGAATCCCAGGAGTGACTACATGAAATATTTTTTGAATTAGAAGAGCTTGTTGCCACCGGTGAAACGAAAAATCTAAAGGAAAAACAAACGGAGAACGATCATAAAAAAAAACACATCAATCTTGAAGAGTAGCCATGAAACGAAAGGAAAAGCAATATTGCTCTCGTATATTGGAGCCCGTGGTACAAAACACACTTAGACCTTTAGCCAATATTTCTACCAGCATATTAAATACATAGAAAAAAATAGAAGATATATAGTAGACCTACAAAGCAAGCAAATGTGAAAACCATATCGCGACAACGAGCCACCATTCCCAGCTGTGCAAATGTGATCTTTGGAAACATATCTGGATCTCCGTGATACATATGATGCTTTTTCTAAGCACTATTTCTATACCTCGGACATGAGTTGTAATATTGGAATTCTTATAGGAATCCAACATCTTTCTCCGAATGTGGTCGATGAGCATTAGAAATAAACCAGAAGATCAAACTATAACAATCTCAAAAAGGATTAAACCTAGATAAGAAATATCTCAAAAGTCTGATGGAAACAACCAATATCACCTTCTTTTATTCCATGAGGCCACGCAAGACACTGATGTGGTTTGTTCAAACTATGTTCAAACTTTGTTTCATTTTTCTTTTTGATCAATTTGGGAAAAGAAATTGTTGAATTGTTTCAAAAGATTTTGTTCTTTATCTATCTCATGTATCCAAACAATTTTATCATTAATTCTATACTATCCATATAATCAAACACAATTAAAAGATTTTAACATTAATTATAGGATAAAAGATATTCATATAATGTTCAGCATTTAATAATATAAATATTCAAAAAATTTGGTTAAGATTTAAAATTATGATTTTTCTATCATCTTTAATTGATTTTTTAAAATTATTTTGAATCATTATATAATACATAAAAATTAATTCTGCATATATTGTAATTCAATTTTTTTTAAAGGATGTATTACTCAATTAATGAAAATGTGTGTGTTCAACGTCCCACATCGGCTAAAATATTTAGACAATGATTTAGAGTCATGTTATAAATAAATTAAATGAATCCAAATTCGAATGAGCAGGCATCTTAACTTAACAAGCATCCAAATTAAAAGTTTGTATACTATTTTAATTCGATTTTTTAGTTTAAAAAAAAAAAAACTGTTTAATTTTATTGGATATAGTTTTAAAATTTTATAAGTTTAAAATATTATAATTGATGTATTTAAAATCAATAAAAAGTTTATAAATACTATGAATATTAGAATATATAAAAAATTAAAATAGCAAGAGACGAATTATATTACGGGACATGGTTATATGGCGGAACGAGTTTGAATCAAAATTAATAAAAAATTTATAATATTATGAATATTGAACATATTAAAAAATAAAAATAACATTGGACATGTTATATTGCGGGATAATGTTATATTGCGAGATGGATTTGAATGAACAATAATAAAAATTTAAAATATCATTAACTCGCTGCTTCAATACCTATTAAATCCTCATTTTATAATTTTTTAACACCATCAATATTAGACATATCGAATCAGAGTCATTTACACTATAAAATATAAGTGTCTTAAAAATTGTACACTATAAAATATAAATGTCTTAAAAATGATATAATTTGTAAACTTTTATATGTAATACATAATAAGAAAAAAATTAAAATAACAAATTTTAGAAAACAAATCGTCATGCGGTGTACCACGTGTCAACCTCTAGTTTGTTTGTCTATACATAATTGGTTATCTATTTCCTGTTACACCCATTTTTGTTTTCTGTGTTGAACTATAGAGAATGGAGGAAATTAGGAAGATGAATATCTCCTTCTAGATACAGATTTTCTACAAGGCAGTATCCTATCACTATTGTTTAAAAGAGGTGTGTGGAAAGATGCGGAACTGTGGTGGAACAATACGGAGTTTGCCAAATTTGTCATTACTTCTAAGAACTCATAATTAATTAGATTGGATAACTATTTTGAAATACAAGTGTGTTGACCATGTTTAAAAACAAAAAGACACAAAAACACAAGTAACAAGTCTTTCCTAAGACAAATCTTAAACCACACTCTTATTATTGTCTAACTCCAAATTCACTCAAGTTCTGTAGGAATACTTTGTTCATGTCTAAAGAAATTCTCAGGATCAAACGTAGCTTTAATCTGCACCAACCTTTCAAAATTACCCTTGAAATACTTATTCCCCCATTCTCTTGCATCACTCCCTTTACCATTCCTCCCCAAATCAAGATCTCTATAGTTCACGTACGCGGATCTCGGGCTTTTCGATACATACTGCTCCATGTAACTATACATTTCCCTCATCCAATCCATATGCTTCTCCTCGCTTGCTTTCCCGTCTTGCCACAAAGTGAGCCATTGGATCTTGAACAATGTCCCACTCCTATGTGGGAAAGGTGTCTCTGTCTCGGGAATTTTCGCCATCATTCCTCCATAAGGATTCCATATAGTCAATGGTGAGTCCTCTTCTAGAAGCTTTTCCCACAAACCTTCTAATCCTTCTATTGGAATTGGCTCTTCCACATAGTCTGACTTGGCTTTGAAGTAATTCTTGAACAAAGATTTCCCATCGAGTAAAGCTTCCGATGGCGCAGTGCTTGGAAAACCCGCAATGTACATTACCGACTTGATCCAGCTTGTCTCCAAACAATCTTTCTTCGTTAGTCCCAGCTGTGGGAAACTCCTTTGCATCACCTGTCAAACAAACCGGGGTTGTTATTGTCATTATCAAAACTTCTTTACTTAATTTATCATAACCAAACTTTCACAAATTACCAAATAGACCCCTAATATTTACAAATTTTAAATTTGACCCCACTAATTTACCTGCAACAAACGATTAGCGTCACCGAGAAATTGGCCTTGGTACGAAGTCGAGATAGTTCTTTCTTTGCTCTTAGGAGTTTTGCTCGTCGGCTGAATAATCACACGGATAAAGAGATCTTCGTCAAGCTTATCAGCAACTTGTTGCCACTTGTACAAAAGCTTAGTTCCGTCTTGCTCAAGCGTCCTCGTGACAGTGAACACCGTAACAATCTCAGGCACCGGAACGAGCTTTATTTTCCAGGCAAGTATTACGCCAAAGCTTCCTCCGCCACCGCCTCGAATCGCCCAGAAAACGTCTTCTCCCATCGCCGCGCGATTCAAGATTTTGCCGTCAGCGTCAACGATCCTAGCATCGAGGACGTTATCGGCTCCGAGACCAAACTTACGCATCATTGAGCCATAGGCTCCACCGATTATGTGACCGCCGATGCCTAGGCTGGTGCATAAACCCGCCGGAAAACCATGGATTTTGCTTTTCTCTTGAATCCTTTAAAACCATGAAAATAAACCAATTAATAACCGGGTCATAACCACAGCTTAACCATATTAGTGTTTTTTAGTAAATTGGTTATACGAATAAAACCACTTATCAACCTCTTTTCATCTACCTATAATCTATTAGTCAAAAACCCAAAGATTGCATATTGTTTCTAAAAATCCAATTTAACAATGAAAACCAAAACGGAATAAACCAGCCGGTTGAACCAAAACCGGATTATTTCAATTGGTTAACCGCAATTTCGGTTTGATTTACCGCATATCTCTGGTCTGCTTGGTTCCGTGTAGCATCGTATCCCAAAAAAAGTCACAATATTTAAACCATTTTTCTGTTTTAAAGTTCAAGCTTTTAGTATGAAGACTTACGAGGTTTTATTCCATAGCTTTAAATACATAAATAAATAAAACAATGATGCCTATATAGAAGAAAAATCAAGTGTCCCCGAGGTAACCAAATTTTATACTTTTGTGTAAACTCGACTATTTTAAAATTGAATGAACTTCTTCCTTTTTTTTCGATAGATAACTATAGCTTATAAATTATAATATTAAATCGTTTCTTGGTGGCAAAAAGATTATAACATATGATTCTTGGCTTATGATTTACCTGTAATAAACCTCTCCAATAGAAGCACCCGCGTGAACCCACGCGCTGTTACTTTCTATATCAACACTGATCTGTCTAAGTTTCGACAAGTCGACGATCACAAACGCCGTTTCCATCTCCGAGACGTAAGAGAGGCCTTCATAGTCATGACCACCGCTTCTTAGCCGCAAGTGAAGCTTCAGTTTCTTAGCGCAAACAACGGCGGCTTGAACGTGCGTTTCGTAAAGCGGCTCGAAAATGAAATCCGGCTTAGGATTTGACGGCATCAAGTAACGGAGATTTTGAGCTGACGTCTCTAACGCGAGTTTAAAGGAAGAAGCGTTTAGATCGTGAGTGAAGAACGACGACTCCATTGGAAACGAAGCGTCGGAGTTGTCGACTAGACACATCACGAAGTCTTGTTGGATTGTGGAGGAGGACAATGGAATGTAAGAAAGAGATAGTAATAGTAACGTTACGAGAAACACGTTTGCGTTAATATTTATTAACGTAAACGCCATTTTGTGTGTGTTTTAGTGGTTATGAGGTATTTAAGTTTGTTGAGGAGTTTCATATGTATGTTGGGTTTAAATAGGGAGAGGGAAGGGGTTTATACGTAAACTTGATGTAATATTTACGTCATGCTCTTTTGACTCTTGTTTAGTGTTAATTATTTCTTTACCATTTTCGAATCATTATGGCTATTACTTGATTGTTTAATTCATACTTTATAGCCTTTTTGGAATTGGAGTTTATCCTTAAAACAAATCATTCCATCATAAAACAAAATTAGTGTGATCTTTTTTGCTGAAAGCTTGAAACATATGACGATCTAATTATCTGATATATCCAGTTATAAATTTGTGTAAGAAATTAGGAATGTTGTACGTATATACGTATTTAAGAAAGAAAAAACCTACGAAAAATGTTATTATCTTCAATGCATCAAATCTGACACTTGTTGCCTTGTGAACTGTGAGTTCGAAGAAAAAATCATAACTATTAGTATATTTTAATTCAAATCATTTGTATATTTTTCTATTTTTTAGCCGAATCTGAAACATTATTGACATAGGATAACATCTTTCTAAAATTTTCGTGTCAATGAAAAACAGAAAATGTTAATGTACAATCTGTTTTTATAATTAATTGATTAAGACCCCAAGTTTCTGGAGAAATATATGGTGTTTGAAAGTAGGTCATAATTTGTGGGTTTTAACTTTAGAGAGGGACAAATTTCTTCATAATTTCAAAGATACTGACACCACCATCTCCAGTAATTGTGGCTAACTTTTAATATATTTTTCTTCAATTTATTCTTGATTCAAAAAAATATAATATATCTTATTCACCTATTTGACATTCAAATTGGATATTTACTTTTTTCACAGATTTGGTTCATACATCTTAG